AATCTTTATTCTCGACGATAATATCAACCAATCAATATCATTTTGAACGGCCTTTTATCGGGCAAGTGATCAGTATCAAAAAAATTTTAACCCATTTTCGCGCATTGACCAAAAATTTGGCAAACAATAAAGATCGAGAAGCGGCTTGCGGCTTCGAGTAAAATTATGAAAAGCCGCGCTATGCGCGGCTCATGTTATATTTTAATCAAAGCTGCAAGCGGCTTCTCGATCTTTATTGTTTGCCAAATTTTTGGTCGAAGCGCGAAAATAGGTTAAAATTTAAAATACATGTTTTATTGAGAAAAAATGTATGCTTTCGGAGTTGTGGTTTTGCGAGTTTTCAAGTTTTCAGCCGCGGTATTTTGCTTTGATTGATTTCGCCGCAAATTAGAATGCGGCTTTTGGTTTTATGATAAATACGAAAACCGCATCCATCAGACCCAGAAGTGCCAGAAAATGGATCTGAAAAGACGCGACCCTCGACGTCGTGATTTTCAATTTTGCACCGTTTCCGCAAAACAAAACTGAAACCGCGAACGTCCGAGGGTCCCGCCGGACAAAAACGATGCATAAAAAGTAAATAGCGACCTCAGAATGCTTATTTTACAAGTGCCAGGGAATAAAATCAGGAAACAAGGCAGCTTTTATCCTTAATTCCGCATTTTTTTATGAAAAATGTGAGAATTAAGATTTCAGAGCTTCACTATTGTTTTACCAAATAATTGGCAATTTGGCGGAGATGAGTTAAAATTTTAACCTATTTTCGGAAAATTGCCAAATATTTGGTAAAGCAACGGGAAAGCCCTGAAAAATTTATTTTTATGAAATAATTATTATCATTATTTATTATATTAATTATTAACAATAATAATTAATTATTATTTTTGAGTAAAATAGCTTGATTTTCAACTATTGAGCTCAATAAACCATAAAACTCAATTTTTATGATAAATTTGACACTAAAAATAAATTACGAATTAATTGAATAGAAGAACTGACGCGTGAATTTCTGAATACCGAATACTTGGGCTCACAAAGGTTCAATCTTTTACAATAATTTCTTATCAAAATTTGGAGCCTGGTGGTTTTAGATTTATGTTTTTATTGGTGGCGTTTGGAGTGGGAAGTGTGGCGCCTGTCAGCGTTTCCAAATGCGTTTTTTGATCGTCCCAAAATAAATACGAAATTGACACAAACACAAATATGTTTTCGCGGCTCAGGGACATTATCGGCAACACTCTTGTCCAAACACGCCTGAAACAAGACATGCTCTTTCACATGCTCTTTCCCAAATAAAATATTGTTTTCAGTTTTTCGCCGCAAACATCAGTAATCTTGCGGCGAAGATCCCTCCCTTTCTTCTTTCTCTTTTCTGGGCTCGGCAATATGTGTATAAAACCTGAAAGATCCCTAATGAAAAGACGCGTAGCGGCTTTTTCGAATAGAAAGCCGCAAAATGGCTTCGCTAGAATTTAAAATAGACATGAATGAAAATTCTGGCGAAGCCGCTTGCGGCTCCGAATTTGAAAAGCCGCTACGCGGCTTTTCATTAAGGATCTGTCAGAACTTAACCTGACTCGGGTTTTCTTCACTTGTTGCCGAGCCCAGTCGCAGAATTAGTAAAGAAGACACTAGAACTGTCTATTTTGATAGCGCTGCCGTAAATCTGTTGATCCCGCTTGCCTGGCCTAAGTCCAGGTGAGGATCAAACAACAGCCACGGGATTGGATAAATAACCCATTTTTTTGATTATTCCACTTCGGAATTATTTTCCTCCGCAAATTCGATCGCATGCACGCTCGCGGGCTAAAACAATATACTAAATAATCGTACCCAACCAAACGCAACAAAACGAGATAATAATAATATAGACTACGGTTGAAGAAAAGAGGATCAAATTTTGATTCAGAATTTAGCAAAACTGTAATTTTCGAAATAAAAATTTGGGCGACACTGGCCATGTCGTCAAATGTCGTCAAATGTCACCATATGTCGCCAAATGTCGCTGAATGTCGCTGAATGTTGCTATATGTCGCTGAATGTCGCTGAATTCGGTGATATATGGCGACATTTGGTGACATCTGACGACTTTAAGTGACATCTTGCGACATTCGGCGACATTTGGTGACATTCGGCGACATTTGGCGACATAACCAGGGCGCCCTGATAAAAGGGGTACCCCATGTTTCATTCTGAAGCCGCGCGCGGCTTTTGACTTCGAAAAGAGCTTCGATTTTTCCCGGAAACGGGTAGAAATCGAGTGAAAGCGGAAATTTCCATTTTCCATTTGGATAGGAATTCTTTATGTTTTTTATGTACGTTTGGCTCTTTTACGATGGCTATTAGCCTGTTACGCGGGCCGGAGGCTAGTGCCCAATTTTCCATCTCTCAAAATGTCACTATTTATTTTGCTCCTCGGTAAAATTTGCACGGGCAATTCAATGTCATGGAGATGCGAAATAAAAATAAAAATTCAATAAATAAAGCGCCTTGCATTGTTGACTGCTTCCTCTCTCTTTCTCCCAGTCTAGTGGTACTACACTGGAGAGAGGCGATTTTCTGGCAGTTAGATTTTCTGGCAGTTAGACTTTCTGGCAAAGGCGATTTTCTGGCACTGCCAGAAAATCTAACTTCCAGAAAATCGCCTTTGCCAGAAAGTCTAACTGCCAGAAAGTCTAACTGCCAGAAAATCGCCTCTTTTGATTTTGAATCTACAGTTAATGATCCTGGAAGGTAAAAACGGAGAGGGTTTTCGACAGTACCACCAATTTTTCTTACACGTTTTTTTAAAATTCATTGACAAAAGCCACTTTTGACCCATTTATTCAAGATTATTGGCTGTAGCAAACATAAATCAGCTTCTTCCGGGAATTTTTGTGTTAAACACCAGGTGTTATTTGCATCTGATTTCGAGTACTTGGTCACAGTGGGCACCCACTGAGATAATGGCGCACGCTAATGCTTTTGAAACTGAACTTGTTATAAAGCTCTCCAGAAAATTCTTCCTTAGGTGGTGAAATCGCCTTTATAGGATGGATATTATTTGAAATTCTGCAAGAAACTCTTAATAATAATCATTATATAAATTCGAAAAACTGGTGATTATCACACAAATTTCATTTCGGAGCAGTTTCAGCAGGAGTTTGCACCTTTCGACGCGAGCGTTTGATCTAAAAGCCGACTATTCAGGGCGCTAAAAAGACTACGAATTGGGAATTGAAATTTCTGCGCTAAAAATAGAATGAGGGTAGCATCCGCAGTTCGTTCTAGCTGTTTTCGGAGTGACAAACGGGTTCACAGGCAGCTGAAAAGTTAGATTTTGATTTTTTGAGAAAATGGAGAAGAAAAAGGAAGAAAAATCGTATAGAAAAATATTGAAAATGACAGCGATTCCACCACCTTCTGAGAAAGAATTTTCAGGAGAGTTTTATAAAAGTTCAGTTTTAAAAGCATGAGCGTGCGCCATTATCTCAGTGGGTGCTGTCTCACGGCCACGCGTGGAAATGAGTAGCCAATCATATGCCCGGATCCATGATTTCACTCAATCACAGACAGGCAAAAGCGTAGGCAAAATCGACCACCCTGTTAACGGGTTAACACAAAAATTCCCGGAAGAAGCTGATTTATGTTTGCTACAGCCAATTATCTTGAATAAATGGGTCAAAAATGGCTTTTGTCAATGAATTTTTATAAAACATGTAAGAAAAATTGGTGGTACTGTCGTACTTTTTACCTTCCAGGATCACTAACTGTAGATTCAAAATCAAAAGAGGCGATTTTCTGAAATTAGATTTTCTGGCATATTATATTTTCTGGCAGTGCCAGAAAATCGCCTTTGCCAGAAAGTCTAACTGCCAGAAAGTCTAACTGCCAGAAAATCGCCTCTCTCACTACACTGCTGTTTCTCAAATCTACTGTTTAAGATATAGAAAGGTAGAAGTCGAAATAGAGTGGAACCGTTTTCCTTCGTTCAAAATACGCGCTTGGTAGCACTTGGTATAGAAACACGGGGTTATCCTACGCTATTGGGTCCAAGAAACACTTTTCTTGGATCGAATCATCATAAATATGATTTTCAAAAGACGTAACAATTAACAACGAAGAACAGAGAGAGAACAAATTTTACAGATCATTCACGGTTTATTTCCAAAAGTATGGATCGTAAATTTTTTCAAGAAGAGGAAGAACATCAGGTTTTCTTTCCCTAGTTAAAAGGCGTCCATTTTAACGGATTCGATCTTCAAAATTTTTTGATGAAATCCGTTAAAATGGGGACGAGAAATGTTTTTAGTAAAATTGGGATAAAGAGATTAAGGGTATACCTTCCCAAAAAACTCTAAAAACAAAGATATCTCTTTATATTATCCTATAAAATAATAGAACGGAAATATAAAGGGAAATCCTTCTTTTTGATTTTTTCATTGGGCAGGTATACCCTTAATCTCTTTTATTAAAAATCAGCGAAGATAGAATCCAAGTGAATTATTGATTGAAAAAGTAACTTTTGAGTTTTTATTTTCTAGTTTTTACAGAAAATTTTTTTCTGAAATGTTACCTTCTAGAAAATTAACTGTGGCTGAGGCTTCAAAGTGATCAAATAGAGGGGTTTTAATGAATTGTTCGAATTTGCGCCCGGTTTTTATTTAGAGATCGACAAAGGCATTCTTTGTGAATAGTGATTTTTATTTACCAATTTCTAATATTGTATTGTGTTGTGGCCTCCGGCGAGTTCCTGTTCAGGTCTTTTTCTGGCGGCCGTTTGTGTCTGTTTGAACTGCGGCCGGTTGAATAGGGGACGGTCTAGTCTTTGTATTTACACACAAAAATACATTTCTAAAATACATGCCAGTTTGTGTTTATTCGTATAAATGAACTGAGCTCCATCGCTCACAGCTCTTCAACACAGCAAGGCACACACGCCAGCGGCAAAAGCCCCAACCGACAGATCTTGACTTTTTTGACACAGAGCATCCGGCAACTAAACAACAACAGAAATCAAAATGCTGAGCCCTCCCTCGAACTTGAACCAGGTGGAATCGAGAACAGTTCCCAACGCGCTTGGGGCAAGAGAGCAGAACTCCCCCAGGGCGGAACAGGATCCACTACAGGTTTCTTTGAATACAGCAATAATTCTTACAAGCCTAAAAAGCATCGCAAGTACTGTATTGAAAATGCTTATCACTATATTTTATCATTAGAAAAGCAACTTCTAACTTAGTTCTAACATCCAAAGTTGACAAAAACAAAAACTGAGCCTTGAAAATACTAACTAAACTATTGTTTTTGTATAAACTCATTTATATTCTGACACTTCAGCGCGGAAAAACTACTATTTATAAGTTGTTCCAATCCCTCCTTGACAAACTAAGACCAACACTTCTTGAATTTTAAAATTTTACTTATTGCACTTTTCAGGCACTGCAACTTGCTCTACTGCAGCAATCACAAGCCAACTCTTTCAACAACAAAGAAAACCATCAGAAGCCGCCAGCTGCTGCTCAGGATCCAATCACTTCCACGGTATAATACTTTTTTAACTGAAAGAGCTAAAAGCCGCGTAGCGGCTTTTAAATAACGAAGCCGCGAAGCGGCTTCGCAAATATTTCAACTGAAATATCGTTGAAAAATTTGGCGAAGCCGCTTCGCGGCTTCGATCTTAAAAGCCGCTACGCGGCTTTTCGGTCAAACACAAAGAACCTGACTCAGGTTTTCTTCACAGGTTTTCGAGCCTAGCTTCCGGTGGCTTGGGAAAACAGCCACTTTGGGCGTTGCTCCTTCTCTTGATTCATTCCACTGTTTTTTAGATGCAGGCGATGATGAACGGGCTCCAATCGGGCTCCCAATTCGGCAACTTTATGCAACAACAGCAGCAACAAGCCGCCAGTCTCCTTGCCGCACAACAGGTAAAACACAAATTTTTTGAAATGTTACTGTTTGTAAATGTTGTCGTATTTGTATTTTGAGAGTTTGAGTTGTAAAAAGATTTGAGATAAGCGACGGGCAAATTTGAAAATTTGGGAAAGATCAACAATTTGAGACTTGTTGGAAGTCGAAATCAAAAGTACTCAGTACTCAATGCAAATAGCTTGAAACAACAAATCACAAGTGCAAAATGCAAACTTCCGACAAGTGCGCCAAGCAAATGGATCGATTAGCGACATTTTTCAGCGAAATTAAGGGGTAGACATCAATAAAGCCGATTTCCAAGAAGAACATTATAGAAACCAGGACATCGTTTGTGTAGCCGCGCGCGGCTTCGGGCAAAATAAGAAAAAGCCGCGAAAAGCTGCGGCTTTTTCTTCTTTTTCTCGAAGCGCGCGCGGCTACTTAATTTTGTCCTGGTTTCGTTAGTGTTCTACTTGGAAATCGGCTTTATTGATGTCTACCCCTAAAATTCGCGAAATTCCAGCTTTTTCTGGAATTTCTGGTTGACGTAAAACCTGACTGAACTAAAAATAATTCGAAAGCAGTCAGCATAATTTTCCTAATCGCTCTCAAAACACCTTATTATCCAGTCAACAACAACTTGTGTGTATAGTCGATATAGCTCCCTGCGCATTTTCTAAAACTTCCGAGGGAGGATTATTATTTACTTCCGGAATTTCGCCAGTAGAGGAGCTGGGCCCACGTGCTCAAGCGAATTTATTTATTCCGAAATCGGATTTCCGGATTTTCGCTTTTTGAAAAAGAAAGTTCTTGAAATTTGGAAGAAACGCGGCTTACGTAAAAATCGCGAAATTGTTTGTTGTCCAGCTCGGTCGGGCTCGGCTCAGATGAGCCGCCTGTTTACTGCCACCGAGCTGGGTGCACAAATACACAAATTTTGACGTTTTTGACATTTTTAGCGCAACAAATAGACAACTAAAGAGCATCTCCTCCAGAATTCGAGGGAATCTCAACGGTCAAAATGCTCGTTTTTGATTGGCTCAAAAATGATTTACAGAATCTGATTGGTTCAAGAAGACAATTGAAGCTTCTGATCGGCTGATTTGATTTTCAAGCCAATTGGACCGTCAATTTTTTTGGACCAATCAGATTTCATGAATCATCGTTTTAGCCAATCAAAAGCGAGTATTACGAATGCTGAGCTTTGCATTGGCTTTTCATCCTCCTTAACGGGCATAATACTCGTTTTGATTGGCTCAAAAGATGATTTATGGAATTTTATTGGTTCAAAAGGAAAATTGAAGTTTCTGATTGGCTGATTTGGCTTTAGAGCCAATTGGACCGTCAGTTTTGCTTTTTGACCAATCAGATTTCGCAAATTCTCGTTTGAGCCAATCAAAAAGGAGTATTTCGATCATTGAGCTTTTCATTGGAATAACAATTTTGAGCGCTAGAATACCAAATAATTTGGCATGCGGAGTGCCAGTTGTACATGGCGAAGGTTATCAGTTATCTTCTCAACCTTTCAGAGTGATAAGAATGAAATAAAGTTCTTTTGATAACAAACAGAGGCGCGAGTGTAGTTTTCGATTGTACTAACAAATATTTTAATGCGCGTGTTTTAGTAAACAGAATTGTGGAAGTGATCGGGGCTGATATTATCTCTGGATAAGCGGAATCAGTGTAGTCAAAATGCGCCTAAACATGCCCCAATCGACAATATAAAACAACTATTAATGTTTGGGCGGTGCATCTTGTACCCGGATGTTGCCACAAAATCCGCCAAACTACAATTAATTCCACCCGAGTACCAAAATCAAAACAATGCGCTTTTTTGCTCCTTTATTCTGACGATTAGAGCGGCTTTCCGGTGGAAAACCACGTGACTCACGCGCTCAAGTACAGAGTTAAGGGAGTCAAAAACTTTGAAATGCTCTGAAAACTGAATAAAAATGAGCCGCGCGCGGCTTTTTCACTCATTTTCGAATAAAAATATGTCCAAAAATCATAATCCAAAACGTTGGTCAAATGTCCTTGGGGAGTTAATATTTTTAACCCCTTTTTTCATCTTTATAAAAGTCGCAATAGAAAGCCGCGTGCGGCTTTTTGACTCATTTTCAATGAAAATTAGGCGTTTTTGGCGATTTCCATTAAATTGGTCAAATGTCCTCAGGGAGTTAATATTTTTAACCCCTTTTTTGCTTTCCATAAAAGTCGCAATAAAAAGCCGCGCGCGGCTTTTCGGATGATTTTTCGGTAATTTTTGAACGTAATATGGCCAAAAAAAACTTGCCATAAAATTGGTCAAATGACTTTAAGAGTTAATATTTTTTAACCCGTTTTTGATCTCGTCTCATTTCGGGCCTCACATGAGTATTGCGGAATGAGACAGTCTTCTGTAAGTAGATTTTAAGTGGTTGTCTGTTTGGGCTCTGTTTGAAAATGTGTCTATTGTGGATTAGTATTTAGCTTTTTGTCAGTAGAGGCGCACGTGTTTGTCATTTGCTCCAAGTGGAATGGCGGCGGAATTCGCAGTCGGGCTTTCAATTATTCCTCTCTCCAGAATACACCACCAAGATCAGGCGGCGGTGGTGTTTGTCTCCTTTGATGAGAACTCGAGCCCGGAAAAACCCCTTTCCGGGCGGCTGGCAGCTGCCCATTTCCGAAACTCTTTATTTTCCTTCTCAAAAAAATGGAAAATGGAGTTGACAGGGCTACAAGCATTCCGCCTTTCAGAAAATAATTATTTGTAAGGAGAAACTATTTCCGCCACAAAGTGGATACTCGTCCGGTCTGATCATAAAGAACAGCTTCAAAAAATTGAAAATCATGAAAACTCATGATTTTCGATTTGGCGCCGCTTAGCGGTTTTTGATGCAATTTTGACAGAGTCTCAACGGTCAAAATACTCACCTATGATTGGCTGAAAAGATGATTTACGCGATCTGATTGGTCCAAAAGAAAATGTAGATTCTGATTGGCTGATTTGATTTTCAAGCCAATTGGGCCGTCAATATTCTTTTAGACCAATCAGATTTCATAAACCGTCGTTTTAGCCAATCAAAAACGAGTATTTCGATCTTTGATATGATGATTGGCTTTTCATGAGAACTCATGATTTTCGATTTGGCGCCGCTTAGCGGTTTTTTATGCAATTTTTCGGGATTCCGCTTTAATTGAACTGACCTCCTTAAATGACCCTGAAAACTTCAGAAACACCAACACCAGGTGCCAGAAAAGAAAAACATAGTTGTTGATGCTTTTCGGAGTTTTAAGACGCTTTTTGTTTAGTATTTTTATTTTGCATTGCGCTAGAAGTGTGACCCACGCGCGCTCCATTGAAAAGTATATTTACCAAATCTTTCATTTTCTTCTTTAGTTCGGCCTGCAGAAGGAGAAAGAGTCGCAAATGATGCAACACAATCTCGCGGTCCACCAGCTCCTCCAGCAACACCTCCTCCAGCAGCAACAACAGCAGCTGCTCAAATCACCTGCGACCAGCTCCGTTTCCTCCCTGGCCATTTCCGAGCCAAAGAAAGAAGGCCTTGGAGGAGCTCTTGGAAGTCTAGCCTCGCTGCCGAAACTACCTGGGCTGGGACAGTTTCAGCAAAAGACGGAAGAAACTGACAATAAAAAGCAGAACTGTCTACTCTTTCCAGCTTGATAGACGAGCGAGAAAGAAAAAGTCCAAAAAGGTAAGAAAAACGAGAAAATGAATTAAAAACTGAATCGAGAAGCCGCTTGCGACTTCGAGATACAAGAGATAAAAAGCCGCGCTTTTCGCGGCTAAAATTATTTATTAAAAATATTTTTATTTAATTAATTATTTTTAATAATAATAGAGCCATTCTTCTTTAAAAACTGGGCTTGAAAACCTGTGTAGAAAACCTGAGTCAGGGCTGAAAAATCCAAGCTTTTCGTCAAAGATCTTTCAGAAACCCTGACTCAGGCTTTCTACACAGGTTTCCCAACCCAGTTCATTGAAAAACCATCAAATTTTGCTCAAAAAAGTCACGATTCTTGATGGCACGATTCTTGTTGATAAATTGGTCTATAAATTCATTCTTGTCCGTCTTAATTTCCCGACTATTAATGACTTGCGACGGTGTTTTTGGCGCCATGGAAAAAATAATAATCAATTTGTTTTGATCATAAATACTTGTCATAAATAGTCACTGATTATTTTTTCCTAAAGACACAATAATTTTTTATTGACTGATCTCTTTCGCTTTTGAAGAAAAAAGATTGACAGTTGTTTACACTTGGCAGCAGCAAATAAACAATATCAAAACAACTGTAACTGTAACTGTCTGAATAATTTTTTGAAGACTTTTTCTTTCGGCTGGCTTTGGACAAAAAGAGGTCGGGTTTAGGAGCGCCCGTCCCGTCTCAAAGCCGTCTAAAGACAAAGACTTTTTCACAAGTTTTTCTTGATTTTTGTTGTCTTGTTTGTTTATCTCAAAAGACGTATTTATGTCGCTAGTCACAACAGACTAATTTCGCCAAAATTGTCAAGCTCAGAAACACGCTCCTGCTGCACAAGATAAAAAGACGAAAACTTTTGCTTTTCATTAGAGATACCCTTAAGGACCCTGACTCAGGTTTTTAACTCAGTTTTCCGAGTTTTTCTGCCCCAAAATAATATATTTTTGACGTTTGAAAAACCAAAATTTCATCTTTTTTCATTTTTCGATGCATTTTTGAAAGTCACGTGTTTGTCAAAAATTTCTTTGAAGGTGCGTGAATTTATTTTGTTACTGGTACTCGAAGATACTTGAGCATTTCCTGCCCCCTTCTGCGTAAATGAAAATAAACTCGTATATCATAAATATTTTCGCGAAAACAACAATTTTCAAAAATCCGCCCTTCTGAGAAAAATGAGGGGAGAAGAAGAAAAAGGAGAGCGTAAATTAATTTTGATATTTGAAAAAGTCATCCCCTTGGGGAGATACGATCGATCCGGTGTAATAAACAAACAAACAACAAATAAACAAAAATAACTTTTTTCCTTTTCTGGCGGTGTTGGCACCAACAGCAGCAAGGGCTGAGCACTCCACCGCCACCAGGAAAAACACAAAACCAAAAAAAGAGAAAATTGAACACTTTTTAATTCACTTTTTGATGCGCCAGAAAATGATCAGAGAATTAAGGGAGTCGCCGCCAATGTCCATAGAGCCAAACCACCCGCTCTTCAGCCACAACACCTGCAAATGGCCGGGTTGCGACCAGCACACCGAGGATTTTGGACGATTTCTCAAGTAAGTACTCAAAAAATTAAATTTCAAAAAAAAAAGCCGCGCGCTCAGGAAATTAAAAATTCTAGCGCGCGCGGCTTTTTAAAAAAATAAAAAAAATGCGGCTTTTTCGGAAGCGGCTAATTTTCAAAATTTTTGATTGATTTTTTTATTTTAGTTAATTTTTATATAATTATCAATTTTTCTTATTATTTTATTGATTATTTTTTAATAAATATATAAAATCAAAACAAAATTTCATAAAATTAGCCGCTGATGCAATTTTAAGCCGCAATTTTATCCCAAAAAGAAATTTTTAAAATTATCAAAGAGAAGCCCTTAATTCTCCACCCAAAACTCACAACACCCATTCGCACCTATTTCTCCTGCGCTTATACCAAAACAAAACAGCCCTTCTCCTAAATAAGTTACTTTCGAATTGTGTACCTTCGTTTACGGTTTTGAAAATGCGCTACAAATCCGGCTTATCGTCGCCTTTTGTGATTTTTTGGCGGTGTGCGTAATTTCGCGCCAATTTAAGAAAACCTCCCTTTCTTGACAAAGAGGGAGAGTAGCAATTTAGTATTACGAGCCGTGGCCCGTAAACAACGAAAACAATTTAAACGGACGTAAATGCGTGCTTCTACAAAACCGTAACATTCGAATTAGTTTGTAAACAAGAGGCGCGCTTTTTTATTTTTAGTCGCCAAAAGACAGATTACATTATTTATGGAAGACTAGCAGCATCTTGTTCGATGTACGAATTTGTTGATAAAGCCAATTATTTATTTTTCCCTAGCGCTACTTTTCTCGAGTTTTGCTTTTCAGCTATTTTTAGGAAGAGCTAGGAATTTTAGTGCTAATTGAGGCCACGTGACCGTCAAGCTGATTGAAATTGTTCTGAAAATCGAGAAGCCGCTTGTGGCTTTGAGTCAAAAAAAAAGTTGAGCCGCGCGAAGCGCGGCTTTTTCTTCCTTTTCGCTCGAAGCCGCAAGCGGCTTCTCGATTTCCAGAACAATTTCAACCAGCTTGATGGTCACGTGAATATTTTTTGTTTCGAAAAAATGGAAAAAAAGAACACTGGAGATAGTTTATCCTTCGGTATTATGAGATAGTGTTGTGTTAGGCGGAACAACAATCGGATCTCCGGTGTCACATCAAATGTCCTTTACGGAATAAACTGTCAGAATGCGCGTGACTCCAACTGTTGTCGAACGTCAGAAATAATAGCCACTGCCGAGGGTAAAAAATAATAACATTACGGGATTTGCGTCTTTGCGTCAATTGCTGTTTGTTGATTCAATCTTGCGAGCAAGGTTAATTCAATTTCCGTTTATGATTTTTGAATTAATGAAAATGAGAGAAAAGGTCAAACAAACAAAACGTAAACAGGCATAATTTATGGCCAAATGGGCCTGTTTGTCCTCTCCTTCCGTTGTCACATTACGCGCTATTTGTCAATTTTTACGTTTGACATTTGCAAGAACGACAACATATGTTTGTTCTCGCCTCGTAACAGGCCAGATGCCGACTTTTCTATTTCCTAACGAATGATGCTAGGATGGGACAAACGAACAAGCAAATAACAAATCCAAAAAATTAAGGGTGTCAACCACTAAATTTGAAGTCACCTGACCGCCAAGCTGATTGAAATTTCTGAAAAATCGAGGAGCCGCTTGCGGCTTCGAACGAAAACGAAGAAAAAGCCGCGCTTCGCGCGGCTCAATTTTTTTTAAAACTCGAAGCCGCAAGCGGCTTCTCGAATTTTCAGAACAATTTCAATGAGTCCTGCCGAGTGAATGACGAGTAAATATGCATTCTTATTCAGGGTGCAGCAGAAAAGCGCTCGTGGCGGCGAGATCAAAGGAGAAAGCGCGAAATGTTCGTTTTTTTCTTTTGCAAGAAAGTATTTATAAGGACAAGTGTGTGGCCCGGGCTAGACTTGTGCCGACGCTTGTTGTGTGAAATTCCAACGGCCATTCCAAACAAAGCCGTTGCTTTGGAACATTCCGAAATCTCAGCTGCCAAATCTAATTTCGAGCCCCCCACGTGATCATCGCGCTCAACATATATTTTAATATACAAATGCTGGCTGATTAAATTTCCTCCAAAAATAAATTTTCCCTCCGAAAAAATTTTTTCCCGATCGCCAAAAACTAATTTTCCTCTTTTTTAGGCACCTGAATCAAGAACATGGCTTGGACGACAAATCGACTGCACAATGCCGCGTCCAAATGCATACTGTTCAGCAGCTAGAACGACAGGTACAGTAATGCATTGTTGCTCGAATGCGGCCACATCCCTTTCCGGCTCATCCCCTTTTCGTACGTTTTCTTATTTGCGTTTTTTCTGGCGTAAATTCACCGCCAGGCTGCGGCGGCCAACGGCGAAAACAAACCACAACCGCAGTGGGAAAATACAAACGCTCCCCCCATCCCTCCAGTAATTTGTAATTCCACCGAGCGACTAAATAAACTTACAGATAAACCACTCCAGTACTCGAGCTGCTAAACAAAAATTGAATTAATTAAAAATGAAAATTTTAATTAACAAAAAATTTCAGGTTCGAGTTGAGAAGGAACGGCTAAATGCGATGATGACTCATCTTCAAATGGACTCTGATAAGGCCAGAGCAAGGTCGATTTCTCCCCCGAAACGGGCTCAATCCCCAGTTCTACCCCAGGGATCCCCACAGGTAGGCTTAACATGAGACTGGCTTAAACTGTTGATAATTTAATGTTTTGTGTCTTAAATTGTCGATTTTCGAACGTGCTTATCCTAAAATCAACAATCATGGACCTTATTCGCAAAGTTTTGTCGACAATCTTCGGCTCAAAATTTGAGTCAAATATTTGCCTTCAAAGACTAAATTTCTCCCTTTCAGAATGGTTTGGGAAGCATGCCCCGTCTGCCCACCAATCCCATCCCATCCCTCCCGACCTCCACTCCCAGCTGGGCGGGCGCAGGCCTCGGCGGCTCACCCTACTCCACCGCCGCCGCCGCTGGTGGAGGAGGAGCTTCACAGCGAGAAAGCTCCTTTCACCGAAAACGCCCTACTCTTGGCATTTCGGAAGGTAAGAACAGACACTTATTCAGCCATTCACTTGATTCAGGCGGAATACTTTTCGAGTATTATTTTGTCAAATTAAAAATACAAACTGGGGCGATTGTTGTTTCAAATTGGTCGCGGTGGCTGAATAATGCACTCGCCCGCGGCCAAGTGAAAGAAAAACACACCGCCCTGAAAACTGTATCCAAGTATCCGACTCGTGCTCGAGTTACAGTTACAGTTCGAGCTTAGCAACCTGAGTACAAAACCTGAGTCAGGGTCTGAATGCTTTTCAGTAAGATTATTCAGACCCTAACCTAGGCTCGGCAGCCTGAGTGCAAAACCTGAGTCAGGGTCTGAATAATCTTACTGAAAAGCATTCTGACCCTGACTCAGGTTTTGTACTCAGGCTGCCGAGCCTAGGTTACAGTTTTCCCCAATTCTAGAGCTAAAAATGATAAACAAGCTCTTTTCTCTTGATGTGGAAAAGAAAACTTTTGCGCGGTACTCACGCAGCGGTCGCCAACACCTGGCCCGTCGGTGGGTTAAAATTTCTTTTCGCAAAACAAATAATCAGGGAGTGTGGTCCGATAAAATGGCGAAGAGTTCCAAAACCGATGCTAAATCACCGCGATAAGGGCAATTATGTTTTTCCTAAATAGAAAATAATAATATCGCCAGTGCGGCGATAAGGAAGTCTTATCACCTCTCTACTGGAGGCTAGACCGAAATCTTACTCCAGCAAAACTCGTAATTAGCAGCGGCGGAGAAAACGATAGATAAAGCGAGAAAAAAATATGTTTTGCAAAATAAAATCTCGCAAAATGAAAATATAAATATCGCCAGATTGGGCCGTTATCACAAGAGCTGCTTGTCAATTAGAACTTCAAAGCTCCAACGCCGCTGCTCCTCAGAGAGCCACGCCGATAAAACTCGAAAAGGCAAAACAAATGCTAAACATTTTCGTTTATATGTTATACTCAAAACTCGGAAAATCACAGAAATCGCCAAAAATAGGCGCAAAGGCCCAAAACAATCACAAACGCGGAAAAATAATCCACCTTTTCCTAAAAACTTTCTAAAACGCTCTTTTTAGAACTGCACCAGAACTCGGACTTCTACAAGAACGCGGATGTTCGACCCCCATTCACATACGCTTCTCTCATTCGCCAGGCGATCGTCGAGTCTGAAGATCGCCAGTTGACCCTCAACGAGATCTACAACTACTTCATGAAGACTTTCGCCTATTTCAGGTTCGTGAAATCCCAATTTTCATCCCCTAAATTCCCCTTTAGAAAAAACGCGGCGACATGGAAAAACGCGGTTCGACACAATCTATCCCTCCACAAATGCTTCGTCCGCGTCGAAAACGTCAAGGGAGCAGTCTGGACCGTCGACGAAGTTGAATACCAAAAACGACGACCACAGAAACTATCTGGGTAAGCCCCCCTTCGTCTTATCATTTCCCTAACACCATTTCCAGCCCTGTTCTGCGTCCTCGAATGGACATGGACTCGCATTCTTCATCCCCTTTTCCCAACCCGATGATGCCTCAAGCCGCCACTTCTGATTCAAACAACTATTTATCCGCGGCCGCGCGGCTCTTCCAGAATCCCGCCCTCCTCGGGTAAGATCCTCCTCGTTCTCTTCCTTGATTTCAATTTCCAATTTTAGCGGCCTCAATCCCGCCCTCGCAGCACAACTTCAAGCGCAACTCAGTGGCAATGCCACTGCTGCCATTTCAGCACCACCAACACCACCTCAAATCACTAATCCGACAGCTGCTTTTGACATTTCCGAAATGATCAGAAAACAATCTGAACTGTAAGTACCTACGAATGAAAATAGGCATCTCGATTTCCAGACAATATTTTTTTTGAAGAAATAACGGAGTGATACCCTTATTTTTTGAAATGAAAATAAAGCTTCGAGCTATATTGATGATTTTTGGCTCAAAAATAAGGGTGTCACTGTGTTAAATCTTGAAGAAATGCGTCGTTTGTTCAAGAAATAACAAAGTGATACCCTTATCTTATTTAGCTGAGAAAATAAGGGGGTCACTTTGTTAAATCATGAAGAAAATTGTCCAAAAAGTCGGATTTTCGCCGTTTTTTCGAGCCGAAAATCTTGTTTGGAACTCAAATTATCGCTTTCATTTCAGTCTTGCGCAAGCAAACGGTGCCCTCGCCAGCCAGGAAGCCAGTGTAATGGAAGTCGAAGAAGCAGCGGAAGAAGCCCCCGCAGAAGAACCTATCAAAAGCGAACCACAAGTCCAAGAGCCGATCAGCGCTCCGATGGAAGTTCCAACCGTGGCGCCGGAAAGCCCACCAGCAGCAGCGGCTCAGGAAAATTCCGAGGAGCGGCCTGTCGAGATTCCAGAGCAAGAAGCAGCCCTAAACTCAAGTTCAGCCCAAATCAATTTAAACGAAAGTAATCCACTGTAAATATTTATTTTATTCTCTTCTTTTTTCAAAACTGAAATTGTCTGTTTCTCGTGTTTGAAGATTAATTATCAAAAAAACTGCGCACACAAAAAATATTGTTCTAAAAATACGAAATCACTGAAATAAACAACAAAAATTCAACAAAAAAAGCCCCTTTTCTTTCAAGCAGGGTTTGAATAGGTTCGAAGAAGAACCCACTGAGATTATCTCAGATTGCGCAACGAATCAGTCAATAGGCTAATTGTGGGGAGAACAAGAGAACAATTCCCACCGGAAACCAGGACAGTTTATAAAGGGACCTGCCCGGATTCGAAAAAGAGAAAGAGACGAAAATGAAGGTTTTTATTGCAATTTTAGCAGTTGTCGCCGCGCAGAAAAAGGACTGGTTTTCCAGGTAAATTCGGGAAAAAAAACCATAAGAGGGTTTTTTAACAGAAGGACAAATAATTTTATGCGATTGTAGATGTTGAATAATTCTTTCTTATCGTAAAAAAAATAAATCGTTTACCCGGGAATCTAATTTATTAACTTCTCATCCTCAGATGTGTGAAACCAACTAACTTCGACCTCGACCTCTCGCGCTACGACGGAACATGGTTCGAGCAACATCGCTACCCAGTCTCCTTTGAACCAGAAGCTGCCACATGCGTCCGCGCTCAATATACTCTCGAAGGTCTCTCCCCCTTTTCAACCCCCTTTTTTCACCTCCATCTTCAGGCAACGCTGTCCGAGTCAACAACTCGATGATCAACGAAGACCCGAAGAGCGGGCAAAAGGTGCTTTCTTGGGCTCTCGGTCGCGCGACTGTTCCGAATGAAGAGAAGAACAACAAGCTGATTGTCGTCTTCGACAAGATTCCCTCCATCGGCCAGTGGTTCATCAACAAGCTCGGCCCCAACTACTGGGTCATGGATACCGACTACGACAATTACGCCATTGGTAAAGATTCAAAGATCAACGCCGATTTTCGTCATTCAATTTTTTAAGTGATGAGCTGCAGCAATTACGGTTTATTTACCTCCACGTACTTCTGGCTCCTCGCACGTGACCCGAACTTCCGATCAACTTCGGCCTACATCGACATCATGGACAACGTGACCACCAACTTCAAGGTCAAGAACTCGGCGCTCATCACCATCGACGCCAATAGCTGCGATTACGATGCCATCGTCGAGTTTTAACAACCTTTTCTGCTAATAAAAATAAAAAAAAACATAGTTTCTTCTTTGCATCTCTGAGTCGCGAAAATTGGCGCTAATCTGATAGCTTTATTGTCTGACCGTCTCGATTTCAACTTGCCAGATTTCTTCATCAGAAAAATATGTCTAAAAATGGCCGTAATAAAATTTACTATTAATTGATTGACGATTTCGAACAAAAAAAGTGCGAGCCATGAAGATTTGCTCCATGAATACGCCGGGCCATCAATCACAAAGGAAGAGCGTGATTCGGAAAGAGGACCTCGCACAGTTGGAAAATTCCTCACTCGCTCCTGGTTGCTATCGAGCTCGTAGCGTCGCCATTTGGCGATATTTTCATTTTTTTCTTTATTGAGAGAGCGAAAAAATCACCAGTCAAATAGAAACCAGTCGAGCATTATTAATCGGACGATATTTTTTTTGTTTAAAAACGGCAGCAAGAGACGCATCGTAAATTAAAAAAAACGAGAAATACGAATTATGAACGAATTTCCAACAAAGGTGAATGCTTATTCCTTATTAGAGAAAAATTGGCAAAGAAAAAAATCATGAAAAATGATTCAGGTTGGTTCGAAATGGCCGATTGTCCTGTCTTTCGTCTTCTTTTACCTGCTTTCCCGATATCTTTCCACTAGAGCCAAGCCTAAAAGGTAGTCTGACCGACAGTCAACCCTTCTTTCCCTTTTTTCCTCCTCTAGAATCGACCCAAAACGATACGGCCTCTACGAAAACCTCCAAGTCTCGATGATCCACTCTCTTCTCTCCGGCGTTGGCGCGTGCCTTGCCCTCTCTGATCCGCAAATTTGGGATGATCTGATTCATTATTACAGTCCCTTTGGATCCAAGATTGTGAAGATGAGCACGGGCTACTTTCTCTACGACTTTTACCATGTTCTTTCAATCAACGACTTCAAATTTGCGGAATGTTGGGAACTCGTTGCGCATCATATTGCTGTTCTCAGGTAAAATAAAAAAAAATTATTAAATAATATAAATTAGTAATAAAATTAGCTTTTTCGACCAAAAAGCGTCTAAAAATCGACTTTGAAAAAATTCTAGTTGCATTGGAACATCAGGTTTCTTCGACTACTACCACGGCTTCTCCTGCATCGCTCTAGTCATGGAGGTCAATACGGTTTTCCTCCATGTTCGCAGCCTCCTCAAAATGGGCCGCAAGTGCGAATCAAACTTCTACAAAATCAACTCCTGGATCAATCTGGTCACGATCGTGCTTTTTCGAATCATCGTAAGTCATTCGATTTCCGTCGTTATTTCCGAAAGTTCAAGCGTTATTTGATCGTCAAATACCTGACGTTTTCAAGCGACGGTCAAGCGGTCGAGCTATTTTCTCAAATATTACCCAAACAGTGCTTATTTGAAAATGCTTCTTTACATTCATTTTCAGGTTGCCTTCGCAATGCTGTACCTATTCCAGACGCATTACGAACGACAAGCCTACTGGGAGTACTGCATCTGCAACATCGGCGTTTCTGTTGTTCAAATCATGAATTTCTTCTTGCTCTACAGAAGTTTCTCATTCGACCGCCAGTTCATCCTTCGAAAAGCAAGCTAGAGGGCTGTGATTTGAGGAGACATGTAAACAACTGTACAATTTTTATACGAAAATAAAAAAATAAAAGAATGCGTCATTCCGAGAAAAGTCAAACTTATTGTTGTTTATGCCGGCTTCGAAACAGGAAATGTTTTCTGAAGGAAGTTGGTCATTCTGTTTAGCAGATCAGAATCGGAGAATTCAGAAATTGAGTCTTTCAAAAGAAGAGATGATATTTTTACTCTTCTTTTGGTCGCGATTTTCATCTGGAAAAGAGATATTCACCGGCTTCCTGGAAACAGCAAGCGCGCCTCTTGGATCGAAATGCGAGTTTCCCTTTGTTTTTGAGAACAGAACTCACGATGACTGTCACTTTTCAACTCGGGACGGACTTGATGCTCCTGCTTCTTGGTGCATTACTAATTCGACGACCGGCGAATGGGGCATTTGCCTGCCTGCTGAGGTGAGATCAAGAAAGAGAGAGGGTAAGATCTGCATTTTGTAGTATTCGTGTATCGATAACGACTTCGGAGAAGGGAGGATCTGCAGGACTTCGATCCAGGAAGACGCGACCTTTTCCGACGCTCGAGAAAGGTGCTCTTCCTTTGACGGAATTATCTACGACCCATTCGTCTCTCTAGCTGCTTTCACGGACCTGCTGGAAGTAGACATCTCAAACCCAGCTTCAATGAATCTCACCTCTTTCTGGACCTCTTCTTTGAGCTATATTACTCAGCATAAGGCGTCTTGCCTTGCTGACACTTATTTTGCGATTTTCCCGGTAAGTTACCTTTCCCCCTTTTCAACCTTTTTCTAAAGCTCGTTTTCATAAGGCCAACAATATGAACTCGACGCTGATAAATAGCTACGAAGACAGTGAAGTGAAAGCATACGACCATGTTCCATTTTTTGTAAATGGCGGTACAAACGACAGTAAGTAAAAAACTATCATATTCGCACTAATTTTTATTTAAGCTTGCTCGGAGAAAGCCCTCTATCTTAATCCGACTCTTGGAACACTTTTCGAAGCGGACATTAGCGAGAAGCTCCCCTTTTATTGCAGATACAAGGGACGCCAGGGCTCAAACTTCGAGCTGAACAAATATTCAGCAAAGGACTATCAGAATATGACCTGTCCTAAGATGTTCACTTTCATTCCCAACTCGCCGGAGCCTTGTGTCAAAATTATAGAAAACGCAAATGACAAAGGATTCTGCACTGCTCTGGGAGGAAAACTTTTGGATGCATCCACACCGATTTCTGTTTGGAAAAGGAAGGCGTTTATTTATCAACTTGAAATATTTTTAGGAACACTAAATAAAACGCTTGAAGGATTTCGATGAAAGCGTCAACAACAGCGTTTTATCTCGGAAAAATTAATTTCGAGGTAGTGAATAGAGGCCACGTTTATCAGGTGTTCTCTGAAAACGAATGGGATAAATATATTATCTGGGACCGTCCAATGCATAATTTCAATAACGAAGATTTTCAAATGTTCTTTCCTTGGAAGATGTTTAACTTTCTCTTTACTAAAGACGTTTTTGTCTACGACGACGGAGAGTCGGAGCTCTCATCGTTATGTGCTGCGAGACCAGTTTTTGGGAAGCAGGACTCTTACTGGCAAGACTGCAGAACCGACTCATTTCCTAACGGAGAGCCACTCGACTTTGAGCGCAAAAATTGCTACGGAATAGCTCCAGAGAAGACAACAAGGACTGCCGCGATGGAATATTGCAAGTCTCGAAATGCGACTTTTGATAACTTCAAATCTTCTCCAGAAGCAAACGAAACAGTGAAAGAGCTAGAATTGTGGACCGGTTTAACAAATAATGACACGATCATTTGGAAATTACTAAACATCAATGCTTCATCTTCAGAAGAATTCTGTGTAGGTCGCAACATTGTTCATGGCAAAAGAGAAACCTTTGAAAAAGTGTCATGCGAGGACCTGAGACATCCGATCTGCAAATGGCCCAGAAAAGAAGAGGAAAAAACTCCGGCAAAGAGACAATTGAGCTGTCCAAAAGGTTGGAATTTGGCTAACCACACAATCAGCGCTGGGACGAAATGGATCAACGAAACCTCTCCAGCCGAAGAATTTACTTGTAAAGCGATTTTGGGAAGATGCACTGTTCCTGCTTGCACATACGATTTGGCATTTCCGCGAAATGAAATTGGGCCAGGTTTTAATATCAAAAGACTTGTCATGCAAGAAGCTTTTTTCGGGTGGATTTGCAGAGATGTTGGTGCAGCCATGATTGGTGATCAGTTGGGAATGTCCCTGATGCAGCATAATTACAAATGCGTTCTCCAGCCATTTGCGAATGAAACGCAAAGTTCTCAGTTCAACTTCAACATGACACAGATCCTCGCCGATTCATTCGAATTGAAAGCGTGCGACAAAGAAAATTCCGAAGGCTTTGCGAAATTTGGCAACGAAACGACCTGTTTTTTCCTTTCGAAAGAGGCAAAAACTTGGGCTGAAGCTCGTTCTTTTTGTAGAAAACAGAACGCTCAAGCGACTCTAGCATATCTTCCAAAGAAGAAATCGTTAAATTATGCAATGCACTATCTCGTCGAAACGAATTCTTCAGATGATGTCTGGATTGGCTTGACCAGCTATCACGATTTGCACATGTTCGGCGACTGGTCCAGCGATTTCAAATGGAGCGCAAGTGGAGAAATCATCGACGAAAATCTTTTCAACTATTTGGCAAATCATCCAGCGTCCAAATTCGACAGATGCGTTAGTTATGGAAACGATATTTTTTTCAATTTCAATCATTGCTCTGATACGAAACGATTCATGTGCACTTTGAGTGACATAAAACCGCGAAATAATCAGGACGATCGAAACAAGCGCGGCTCCTGGTGCCCGGCAAATACGTACAAGCAGGGCTACTCTTGCTTCACCTTCTTCAACGAGACGAAAGACACTTTCAATTTGACATATGATGCTGCAAGTGAACTGTGTGAGGAAGAAGACGGTCGAATGCTCGCGTCGTTTTACAGAAGGGATCAAAACTTGGCTCTAGCGGCTTCGCTGTGTAACAGTACTTTCTCCGCGAATTTGAAGGGATTTTGGCTGGGGCTGAAAGGAAAGTACAGTTGGGAGGGGGACAAACTAGAGTTCAAGTGGCTGGATCAATCGCCATTTACGTTCAGCAACTGGTTGAGTAGTAATGATCTGCTGCAGTTTCGAGGGTACGCTGGTGTCCAAGCCGAGAGACACAAATGTGTTTACTTCAACGCGGACCCCAGCGAGGGCGAAATCGGCCAATGGGGGCTCAAAGACTGCAACGACATGGATGGCATGGGCGCTCTCTGCTCTCACCCAAAGTGGGCAACGAAAGACTACGTCGACCAGTGTCGAGACATTGCTCCTCCAAGCACTTGCCAGAGAGGAACTAATACTCCTCTTGGCTGCAAAGCTTTGTCCCGACCTCAGCGAAAACAATGCATGAAAACTTGCGGCTTCTGTGGAAAGAGGAGAACTCAGAAGAGAATGCGAAAGCCAAATGGAGACTTTTTCGACGCTTGCCCGGATGTCAAGTGGGAAGGGAAGACAATGAACAGAAAAGCTGCCGGAAATGGCGGATGCATGTTTTTCAACCGATGGACCTACCTGAACTTTAGATCAAGAAGGGCGAAAAGAAATCGAATCGAGGACGCAACTTGGGACGATGCTCAGGGAATTTGCATGACCGCGAAGGAGGCAGGCGAGAAGGGAAGACGAGCGAACCTTGTTCATGGCGATTCTTGTGCCTACACAACGATGGAAGCATATCTCTGGAAAGAAGCGATTCTAGGCAGGGGTATTCGGCAAGGAAATGACGAGACAGAAGACGATGATGATAGCGATGATGACGGTGATGAAAACTCCAACGACGATGAAGAGAGCGAGGACGACAACGACTCGATGAGCGATGAAAATGTCGACGAAGATGTTTTCACGGACAAAGACAAGCTTGCATGGCTCGGACTTCGCTTCAACTTTGAATCCGGTTCTTTCGAGCAAATCTCTGGGCGACTTGGCGCTGGAAATCACTGGGCAGCTGGGGAGCCAAATTTGACAAGAAGAGGGGATGAAAAGTATCTTTGCGCGGCGGCGGACTACGAAAGTGCGAACAGAACGGAGTGGAGAATGGTTCCTTGCAATCTCACTTTACCGGTAAAAATTTAATCATTGTTGGAAAGAGAGTGGGATTTTTAGTTTTTCTGCACTTGGGACGAGCATGAAAACTTCGCCTCGCTGAACCAAGGCTTTTGCGAACGAGTCCAGGGAGCTGATTACTGGATGCATCTCGACAACACTTGCTTCTATGGAAAGAAAGAGCGCATTTCTTTTGACGATGCTCACGGCTTCTGCAAAAATATGACCGGCGAGATTTTGAAGATTAACGATTTGGAGAAAATCCGATTTATAAGGAATGAGTTTAGTCAGTCGAGAATCATGAATAATTTCAACTGGGAGAGTAACTTCTTCTGGCTTTCTTCAGGAAAAAGTCAGATAAGAATCACGTGATTTTCAATATATTTGATTTATTGGCGACTTGATTCAGTAAATTACTCGAAAAACGGTCTATTTTGGAATGGAACGGACCAAAAACTCGAAGAAAATACATTCGCTAATATTCCTGATGATCGACCAGATGATAACTATGTTTTATCTTGGCAACTGTCTCACGAGCACGATAAAGTGGGCTTGTTCTACAAAGAAAAGGAGAGCAAAAGCATGGTTATTTGCGAACGACCGGCGATGGTGATGAAACGAGTTCCAAAACGAGGACATGGATTTTTAGTCTTTCTAGGAGAGGGTTGTAGAAAGAGCTTGATCGATTTTATCGTTTATCTTCAACTTTGGCAAGTGATTGCAACTGTGATCTGCGTCGGAATTTTCTTGTGGAAACGGCAACAAGGCGAAAACTACCGATACCTGCCGACCGAGAGGATCATCCAAAACGATACGATGACACAACGTCTCAAATTTTGACCGTGATTTAACGGTTCTGTGCACTTACTTGCTCGACAACTTCATTAATGACGACTTTTGGTCCGAAATACAGTTAATATTCAATCGACATTCTACTAGTTGGCTACTGGTCATTCAATTATTACATTCATCAAGAATTTTCTCAATAAGTTTTTGAACAAAACCCCATTTCAAATTTACTCGTTCATTCTGAGCTGAGTTCCATCGACCCAGTTAATTTGCAACTCTCATCCAGACAATTGTGGAACGCTTGTCAATTCAAATAAAAAGGGTCTTAAATGAAAAAAACCAGGCTCATTTAACCGCGTTTGCTTAAAGAAGATATTTGAAAAGAAAAATGGCGAAAAGAATAAAGCCTGAGAATGTCGAAAAAATTGACCATCCGTCTGAACTTGATAGAGAGAAAGTTGACTCTTGGCTAGAAGGATCTCTTCGGAAACTGAAGAGTACGACTTCACGGACTCAGAAATGCCGACTTTTGGAATCGGTTGAGCGACTTGATTTTGAATATGATAGAAATGCTGCTTTTTGGGAATTCATAAAATTTGATAAAGAAGGCCGTGGGACAATTTACGACAGATATAAAAGAAAACTTGAGGAGTTTGAGCAGACAGAATTTCAAAAAGTAATTCTTGAACATAAGCCGTCTCTTATTGATGAGAAGATTGGACGATGGGAGATCAAGGAAGAGTCTGGTGATTGGCAATTAGATGACGATTTGGAAAAGAAGCTGCTATCGCAAGGGGGAGAAGCGATCGTGCTTGCTGAGAATTTCGACGGTTTTGAGGCAGTTGTGCGAGTGCAGGTCTTTGATCCTTTTCTTTTCACGGAGGAATTTGAAGAGGAGGGATTTACTTGCGAAATTCATCTTTCGAGAGGTAAAAATAGATTTGAAAAATATTTTTTAGGTATTGTTAAGACTTTCAACGAGCAAAAGAAAAAGAAGGATCATCAGAGGGCGAGGATCAAGTGCCATTTCATGAGAATGTGATCCGTCACTTTGTGAATATTGAGCTGTTTTACGCGAAAGACGAGAAAAAAGAGGATTGCTTGGGGTGGATTACGATCATGGAGAGAGGAGAGGCGAATTTTAGAACGTTATTGAAAGCAGAGAAAATTGGTCTGGAAACGAGAAAGAAGATTGCGAGTGGAATTTTGGATGGGAATGAATATTTGTGGAGTCGCGGAATTTGGCATCTCGATCAGGGCTGTTGATTCCGGGTCCTTTCGGATTACCCGCGAGAAAAAAGTCATTTAGGTGTCTATTAATCTCACAAAAATATTTTCACCTATTATAAGGCAGCCCGAGTAATTATTCTAAAGCGTAAAAACGCGTAAAAACTTGCGGGTTACCCGGAAAAAAGTCGCGGGTAATTTGAAAGGACTCGAAATCGACAGCCGTGATCTGGATTTTAAATTTGAAAACATTTTGCTTGTTGGTGGAACTCCGAAGTTTATTGACTTTGGGCTCGTTACGGAGAAAACCGGTCGAGAAGGCTACCGAAAAATGGGGTACGCCAGAAAAGGATCAAAATACAAAAATTCTAGCTCTCTTGGTATGTTTTCGGAAAATTTCAATTTTTATAAATTTTGAAGCCGCTGGGACGTCGGGATTCACTCTTCATGCTCAAATCGCGAATGGCCATAGTTATTATGATTTTAATCTTTACTATTTTCTTTTTGTCGACTGGAAAACCGCGTGGACACTTCTGTACCAACCACTCGATAGTGGTGAAAGAAAAGAAATAGATGAAATTGTTGAAGTAAGAACTTGATTTGTCGATTTTGTAATTTTGTTTTTATGGATTGTGGAGCAACCTCAATCAAAAATTTGAATGCGCTCGATGAGAATTATTTTTCATCACTTCGCAATTTCTTCTCCGAAGTCACGAAAATAATCTCGCTGAAAAACGCTTCAACCATCTTCTGCTTAGATGATCCAAACTTGACCCAGTCTTGCAAGATGTCCAGTTTAAAACAAAACGCGACAAAGTTCCTCAACCAAAACATGCAAAATTTGACGAAAAATGTCTTCGACCAAAAAACTAGTCAACTTTGCGTCCCGATTTCAGTCACCACTCTTCTCCGTTATGCCATCATAAATGACCTTCCTGCTTTCGATGATCAATTGGGTCGCTTCAGCTTTGAAAGAATTCTCGCAACTTTAACGATGATTGTTTTTCCGCGAAGTTTGGCCGGACTCAATTTGAATCCCAACAAGAAAGAAAAAGAAAAGCAAGAAAATGAAATCGAGATTCTTTTGAACCGACTTTGCAAAGAAAGTTATCTTATGGAAAGTGGATGGCAAATCATCAGAGGAGTACAAGAAGGTGAAGAAGATGACGATTTTTATAAAAAAAATTTTCCAGTTAAATCAAGCTGTCAGTTCAATTCAGGTAATTCATCATAAAACAACTAGAATTAAACCTTTTCAGTGTTTCTCAGCGAAAACTTCACCTTCACCCGTCCCGCAACAGTCACTGGCGCGTATTTACCTTCATCTGGCGATATCTTCTTCCACCAAATGACGCTCGACCGGGTCGAAAACGGCGAGTACGTTCTCCAAAACAGCGATTTCAAGGATCATTCTCCAGGTTTTAAACTTCTTACCTCTCAAAATTAGCCTCCTTTAGTTCTTAGCATTCCGTTGAAAAATCCATACTACACCGATTACGGACACATTTGGCATATTATCAACAAAACTTCAATCAGCGTTTTCGAAGAGGACGGAATAAAATGCAAATTAGTGAACGAAGAGTTCGGAAACATGGAGGAAAACAAGTGGTATCTTCATCCTACTGCTTACACCATTCAGCTCATTCCAGAATAAATCTTAAAATCAAGCAATTGAAGACATTTTAATTCATAAGATATTATGCAGTCAGTTTTTTTTTATGCCAGGGAGAGATTCTTCCAGCTATTCTGCCTTGAAAACTGCTTCTGAATAACATATTTTATCCCTCATTCAATCTGTTAGGAAAACGAACCTTTCTGTGAAGATCTTCTTTGCTGGCTATTCTGTGGAGCTCTCGAACTGACTGGCTGGAATCATTTCCATCTTCAATCTCATTTTGAATCATCGCCCAGCGCTTTTTCGCCATCTAAACAGCTTCAACCGCGGCTGTTTTTTTTTATTCTTACCGGTGGCGAAGCAGTGATAGGATGTCCATTTTTGTCCGTAATTTGCCCTCTTACAATCCTCGCAATCCGATCTTGCATCAAATTTCGCTTCGTGATCGTCCATGGCGTCATTTTCTTCACTTCATCCCACGTCATTTCCAGCGCTGAAGGGCTGATTTTTGATGTTTTTGAGGGGGACTTACATTCTGCGTATTCATACGCGCTGCCGGTCAAAAGCATGATGATGAAGGTATATCCACAAAGAATCGCTTCCAAAACATGCAAAACCACAAACGGCACGCATTTCCGTTTGATTTCCTTCACGAGGTCTTCTTGCATGTCCAAGTCGTCGAGAAACCAGTTTTCGTAATGACGCGCGTCTTTCAGAATCCCTTGAAAAACGACATAAAAACAACAATTCGTTAAAAATTCGCTTCAAACCCAAGTAGACATGCGTGCAAAAGAAGTCCCAACAAGTGCACAAAAGAAGAAAAACGATCGAAACAAATTTCACCATCGGCCTGAGATTCTCACTGCGCAGGTAATACAAATTCATTCCACCGTGGATCAGAGCGACAAGGATTCCCTGCCCAAGCGCGGTTGGGAAGCGATAAGAGCAGAAAATTGTGTTTTCTTTCGACTCTTTCTTTCGTTCCCGCAGCTCGCAAATCGGGAAAAGTGCTAAAAGAAAAGGGTGAAGAACCCCTTAAATTAGAGAATACTGTATCACCTGGACAACTAAGAGGCCTGGAAAACGCTTGATGATCCGACTTTGGATTCGTTTCCAGAAGAAAACTCGTCTTTTTCTCCAATTTCAAGCAAAAAGTAAATTGTTTCTGCCAATTCTCATCATGAAACTTCGGCAATTTCCCCCCAGAAGCCGAATGTCTCATCAACATAATTTGAACAACAAAGATTCCAGCGCTGAGTATAACTTGGTAGGCGATCAGAAACTTGCCAAAATGCAGTGCCATCCTTTTCCTTTATCTTTCTCTGTGTGTCTTTCCCTGTTTTATGGTTAAGGAAAAGTACTTGTGGGGCTACAGACGTGTGTATCTTGTATTTAAAATTAATCCCCGCAAAAAGGAAGCTACAGTTAGCGCCACTCAATAATTCACCCTTTTTTCCAGACACACTTGTATCAATCACTGGGCCAGCACCATGATCTGGCTTGCAAAGCTGTGTAGAAAACCTAAGTCAGGAGATCTCAGATGAAAAGCCGCGCAGCGGCTTTTTTAAGTAACGAAGCCGCGAAGCGGTTTCGCGAAAACTATTATTTTACTCAATTTTTAAATTTTGGCGAAGCCGCTTTGCGGCTTCGTTTCTTAAAAAAGCCGCTACGCGGCTTTCCATTAAAGATCTTTCCGATCCTGACTCAGGTTTTCTACACAGGTTCTTGAACCCAGACAATGAAGAATGTATTTTAGATATCAAATTTATTGTAAAAATGAAAAAGGAAAAAGAGCTAATATTCGACGTTGAGGCATTCTTCCGTGCTTTTTTCAGTCTCTTCGTGGTTGAAAGGCGCCGCGCTGTATTCTGGCTGGGTTCTACAGTGCTGCCAGTTTTTTCCCAAGATTTCGATGTCCTCCGCGTTTGCTAGATAGCACCACGGCTGGTCTTCGAACTTCCAGACGTCGTGGGTTCCGTTGTTGAAGTTTTGAGGAACATTTCTTTAGAGAAAAAATTATAGCTCTTCAGAACCTGACTCAGGCTCTTTTCTACACAGGTTGCCGAACCCAGAGGTCAACTAACCTGCAATAATTATGATAGTCGTTGAAGTTTCTTTCCAGCCCGCATCGTTCCTTCAAAAGCTTTTTCGTATTTTCATCGCTGGGTCTGATAGACAGGCCAACATCAGACCAGCAGCGGCATTTGTAGCCCGAAATTGTCCTGTCCACAGTTCCGGAATAGCTGCCAGGGCAAATTTCAGAGTTTTTGCAAGGCGATTTTTTCATCTCTTCTACTTCTTCTTCCGTGAAGCAATATTCCTGAAAAAATGAGAAGAGCGTGATTTAATGATAATCAAACCCAAAATTTCCGTTTTAGATTTCTAGTGCGTTTGAATTGGTCAATAAGACTGTCGATTTCGCTGTCCAAGGTGATGTTTTTGAAGCACCAGGGGCCGCGGGGATCTCTTTTTTCCGCCAATTTCCGGATTTCTGAAATTCAAAACAAGCTCGATCGGGATTATTACCTGCAGTAGTTGTGAGGTTCTTGCAAATAGTCGACTTTTCGAAGAGGGGGTTTGATGTCGTTCCAATTTCGGCAAGGAGTTCCGTTCATGCCATTCAACTTCATGGTTTCAGCTTTTTTGCCATAGTAGTCGAGTTCTTTTTCCCGGTTTTTCGAAAATTTCAAAAAAAAAAAATTTTGTGAAAAAAAATAGAATTTTCTTTAAAACCTTTCCCTTTTGTCAAACACTCGCCGTTCTCAAATGTAGTAGTAGTAGTAGTTGTCGTTGTTGTTGTTGCTGTTTTCAAAGTACTGGTTTCAATAGGAGCAACATCCGAGGCCGAATAATCATCTGGATCATCCGCCTTCGTTAGCGCAATTTGAAGAACCGCGAAATTTCGAAAAACTCTCATTGAAAATATCTTTCCGAGGAGAAAGGGTTGGCGAAAGTGCTAGTGCTAGTAGCTCGACCCAAATATTTAAACAAGGTTGTAATCAATCACCATCCGCGAGTTACTGTAATTAGATAGCTTGTAATTAGATGAACAATCTTTTACCAAAGTTGAGAGCCTTAATTTTCTTTTGTGGTCTTAAAATGAGCACTTTCTGTAGGTATTTTTCATAATAATTGGCCGCAGGAAATTTTTCACAAGAAAAAAACTTAATTTTTATTACAAAAAAAGAGGAGAAAAAAAGACGCGCGGGAAATGCAGGTGGGGCGCGAATGAGTTAAATAGGTTAACATATCGACTCTGGACGCGTCACACTTTTGCAGTAGCCGGCTTGACGCGTATACGTTAGAGAGTTAATTACAGAATTTCGGAAGGACAATTTTCGAATTTCCGAATTTTCAAATTTTCACGAAAAATTTTAAAATTTTAAATCGTAATTTTTTTTTATTTCTAACAATTTTTTTCTTGAAGCAGCGGATTTTTCGCAGCAATCAAAGGATCAAAAAATGACAAGATCTGAGTTTAACAATTTTAGAAAAAAGCTCTTCTGCGAATAATTATCGAATAATCCCGCGTCCGAGAAGAGTTCACGTGTGACTTAAAAGCTTTGAAAGCTTGCGTCCGGCGGAGAAAACGGGTTCTTCCGCCGAGGAGCGTTTTAATCTCGATTTTAATCTGCATTTCGAAAGAAAACTTGCAATACGTCTTGACCGGTTAGACTGGAAATCTAAATCCTGCGCTCGGCAACCTGTGTGGAAAACCTGAGTCAGGGTCTGAAAGTAAACAAATGAAAAGCCACCTGCGGCTTTTTTTCAAGGGAACCGCAAAGCGGCTACGTTGGTAAAAAGAAGCCGCTGCGCGGCTTTTCGTTAAAAATCTTTCAGACCCTGACTCAGGTTTTCTACACAGGTTGGCGAGCTCTGATTTTGATAATTGCCTGTTTCTTCTTTTTCTTCCCGTTGATAGTCGCTTAGAACCGCTAGAATACGCGCCGACCCTTGTTTTATCAGATGCTCAAAGTGCTAAAATGCCCCCCTTTCCAGGGGGAAATTAACGGTACTACCTCGACTGCGAAAATCATGGTCGACATTCTCCGCTAAGTGTTGCCACTGGAACACGGCCTTATCAAGTCTACAAATGTGAAGGAAAAAAGACAATTTGAACTTTGAGAAATATTCACTTCTAAGTCCAAAATCCTGGTCCTTAGTCTACAATGACGAGAAGCCGCTTGCGGTTTCGAGCGAAAAAGACAAAAAAGCCGCGCTTCGCGCGGCTTCTTTTTCTTGGGCTCGAAACCGCAAGCGGCTTATCGTTTTTTAAAAAGAAGAAAAAAATAAAACTTGATTTAATTTAGTCGATTTGATAAAAATGGATTTGATTTCCTAGAATAAGTTGAAAAACTAGAGCTTATTTGATATGATTGTGATATTATGCTTATAATGAATAATTTTGCAGACGAAGTCTTATTTCTATCAATCTTCTTTTCCGGCCTATGTCTTCTAGATAAGCTGAGAAAAGCTTTGAATCGCGCGAGCTCATCTTTTTCGAAACAGCGCCACCCTTGCTCCCAACGCGGTCAGTTTCGTTCTCCCTCATTCATTCCGTTTTCCACTTCTCGAAAGTGATTGATGCTTCTTTTTTCTTCGTGAGTTCCAAAATAGAGAGAGAAAAGAGGATGATTTAAAATCTAACTTTTCAATTCTAGTTTTCTGCTGCTATCATCAGCCCAGCTATTCCAGGAGAATGCTATTTTTGAGAGAAAAGTGCCGCCAAGAACTCCTGATCAGGTTTGACCAGCTTTTTTAAAATTTTTTTTTTGAGACTTTTTAGCGCTTGGGAACCCTTCAAATATTCCTAAACGATTGGATCCGTCATCACATCGGTTCAAAGCGAATAAATCGGTCAGCAAACTGGATTCAAAGAGAGTTTTTTGGGGGCAGCGAAGGATTTGATGAACACAAGCTGTTGATGCTCTACTTCAAGCAAGACGAAGAAGGAACAGAGCTTAATAAAAAAATTTAAAATTCAAACCCGACTAAAAACTGACTAAAAAAACGACTAAAAAATCGACTTAAGAAATGACAAAAAATCGACTAAAAACTGACTTAAAAAGTCGACTATAAATCGACTAAAAACGACTAAAAAACTGACTAAAAACATAGAATAAAAAATCGGCTAAAAAATCGACAAAATATCGCCGTGTATCCAGCTCTGAAAAGGCTTCCCGAGCTGCTCTTACTACAACCCAACGAACATGAACCACGCTGGACCCCGACTGCCATCAGAACCGCGACATTACGAGCGTCAAGCAAATGCCGATTTAGGCCTCTATGATCATATAAAAATCAAAAAGCGCAAAAGGCGAAATGCTTCTCAGTTTTCACAGCCGGAAATCGTGCTCGATCAGTTGAAACTTGTTGCGAGGCTGCCTCCGAATGGCACGGAAAAGAGCATTGAACATGGCTTTGGAAGAAGAAACAACGATTTGATTCAACTCATCAGAAACAGGCAGGAATTGCTTCAAGAAAAAAATGATAAAGGGCATTTTCAGGGAGGACTTTTTCGACATCTACGACCTCGCGCTAGAATTGGACCGCTCGATGGCTGCTTTGAGAAAACTCTCTTCAGATCCAAGAAGAAGCTGGAGCCAGATCAGAATGGGCTTTCTCAAGTGGATAGCTAGATACACAGCTGATTGCAAGGTCGAACGCGAGTCGCAAAAACATACAGGCAACTGGTTTCGACGCACTTTTCTTAATAAAAAGAGAATGATAAAGAAACCGGTCGAGTTTTGATAATGGAGTTCTTTGAAAAACTGATGATGCTGTACGAGTGCCTGTATGAAGGAAAAACACCCCCAGAAGAAGGAAGAGTTGCAACTGCAAGGGTCAAGGTACAGATTCACTTTCCCGAAAAGAGCCCATTTCAAACCATATTTTTTTAGTTTATCTACGGAGCAGGGACCGTTGAAGAAGCCAAGTACGACGAAAAGCTCAGTTTTCTGATCGAGCCACCACGCTGCTCGGGTAGTCAAAAAAAGCGAACTTGATTTTAATCATTTTTAACTTCAGTAAACGACCACATGCGACGTGTCCTGGAAACCCTTCGCCGAAGAAGAAAGTAATGCAAAATTTTGAGGTCTTCCTTGATTTCAAAGCGCGTTTCAGAGAAAAAAAATTTCAAAAAGTCAACTTGATTTTTCTCATCGGCCGAGAGCGAAATCATTTGAACTTTTTGTAGCTTAAATTTACTTGTATAAATGTTCTTGTATAATAAACACTTTTCAATAAATAAATGCAACTTTTTCTGCAAAAAAAATTGTTGACAAATATCCTAATCCGAATCTTTATTTTTAAGAAGCCAAAAGAGAAACAGGGGGAAAGCAAATTCGATAAAATTTGTTTACCGAATCGGCAATGACAATTTGAAAGAAGATAATGAAATTTAGAAAGTACGTTCAGTTTTTAGCGAGAACTTAAGAGCTAGTGGCAACATCAGCAGACGTTGTGAAGGCAAAGTTTTTGACAGAGAAAGCAGTGCCAGCGTCGTAAGTGTTGCCGGCAACCCAAACCTCGAGGTCTCCAGAGAAGAGATCGGCCAAGGGATACCTGCCAGTGTGGATGTAAGCGCCATCGATGGAGACGGTGAATATGATGTCTTCGGTGAATTCAATTTGTCTATATTCGACGGCGAAGTTGGTCCATTCTCCGACGGTGCATGGTTCATCGAAGCTTCGCTCGTATTGGGAGCCAGTGGGATCGTTGACGCCAAAGTAGTACTTGTTCTCATTGGGGTAACGGAAGAGAGCAAAGGTTCGGTCGCCCTTTCCTCCTTTATTGGGACCCGAGGTTACGTGGAAGATGTTGAGCCAGCTGGATGAGGTTTGGCTTCCGCACTGAACATCAGCGGAGAACCTGTAGTTTTTGGGTGCTGTAACTGTTGTTATTTGATTGTTTCGGAAGGGGTTGATGCCGCAGTTGTTGATGATTCTGGTGCAGTCAGCTTCGCCGTCGCAGGGATCGTTGGCAAGGCATGGGTCTTCGGTGGTGGTTGTAGTTGTTGTGGTTGTCGTAGTCGTAGTGGTGGTAGTTGTTGTTGTTGTAGTCATCGCGACTTCAGCGAATGTTTGGTAGGAGAAGTTTCGGACAGCGAAGGCAGTACCAGCGTCGTAAGTGTTGCCAGCGGCCCAAACTTCGAGGTCGCCAGAGTTGTAGAGATTGGCCAGGGGATAGGTGCCGGTGTAGATGTCAGTGCCATCGATGGTGACGGTGTATTCAATGTTTTCGGTGAACTCGATTTGTCTGTATTCGACGGCGAAGTTGGTCCATTCTCCGACGACGCATGGGAAATCGAAGCTTCGCTCGTATGAGGAGCCAGTGGGATCGTTGACGCCGAGATAGTACTTGTTCTCATTGGGGTATCGGAAGAGGGCAAAAGTTCGGTCGCCCTTTCCTCCTTTATTGGGACCCGAGGTTACGTGGAAGATGTTGAGCCAGCTGGATGAAGATTGACTACCGCATTGAACGTCGGCGGAGAACCTGTAGTTCTTTGCAGCTGGAACTGTTGTCACTTGGTTGTTACGGAAGGCGGTGAAGCCACAGCCGCTGATGATGCTGGTGCACTCGGCGAGGCCGTCGCAGGGATCGTAGACAGAGCAAGCGGTTTTTCCGGCGCACGAATTCGTCCAGTCGTCTTTGTTCCAGAAAGGCGGTCTGAACGCGCCCTCGACGCAGCGAACGTTTCCGTTGACACTGGCATCGTCGCATGTGACGGAGTAGGTGGATCGCTTCTTGTTGATTGTTTCGACCAACTGCAGGGAACCGTCTTGGATGCTAGCGTTGGCGGCCGCGGCGATGCATGGATGAGCTGGTTTTGGGCTGCAACTCAAGGTTGTTCCTGCTGGGAGATTCCTAGTAGTATGAAAAGAAGAATGGGGAGAAAGAATTTGAAACTTACTTTCTTGCTACAGTGGCTGGGTCACCACATCGAGCGAGGAATCGGACGCCGTCCTTTTTTGGCTTGGAGATGGAGTGCTCAGTCCAGTCGGGGAGGAATCCGCTGTCGCAAATTGGGTGGCACTTGACCTTGGATCGCAGCTTTCCGTAGCCGGGGCAGACCCAGGATCCGTTCTCGACGGGAAACTCGGTCTGGGTCTCGTCAACTTTGGCGTCGCAGAGAACTCGTCGAGCTTCTCTTCCGGCGTTGTCGAGCTGCTGGTACTGCTGAAAGTAGCCGGCGTCGACTCCTTCGAAGGCGACAAGAAATTGAGCGAGCAGCTTCATTTTTCTCAAGTTTCTCAAGCAAATCTATTTTTTAAAAAGAAAGCTTGATTTTATCACTTTTAACGAAGTTTATATAGGGCTTTGGCATGCTCGTTTTTCGCAATACCGTTTGGTGGCGAGCGCGCGCTGTTTTCTTGAAAAATACACCGCTCCATTTCATCAAGAGTACCAGCCGGGAAACGCACAAAAGAAACCTAAAGTAGAGAAATAAAAAATCTTCTCTGGAAGTGTCAAAATTATATATGGTACAAGGCAACTTGACAAATAGCATATTTAGGCTCTGGTTAGGAAATATACGATGAATGCCCGGTCGAACCAGAAGATTTTGACTTGGACTGATCAATGTTATATTATATTATATTATATTATATTATATGGGGAACGCATCCCGTTAAAATTACTATGGTAAAATGGAGCGCTTGATTGCTGCACTCAGCAATTGTTAGGGATAAAGAAAGCAAGCAGTCACGCGTTCGAATCTCTTGTTGATACATGAAATAATGGTGTCCCGTAATTAATTCGAAACCGATTAACGCTCCTGTTTTACGAAGTAGGAGCAATTATTTTTAGCAAGAATGATATAGCAATATTGCTTTGAATGCAGAACGCAAGAGTACTCTTGCTTCAGAATTAATTTTTTCATAGAAATGAAATGGTTATGATTTTCTCCCTTCGTAATTCTTTATAAATAAAAGTAAATAAAGTTAAATCTTTATTCGTAAATTATTAGATTCAATAGTACTTGAGTATGCAGGGCTATCTACAAAATGTCTATCTTTAATAAAAAACCAGACATTCGATCAAAATATATAATATAGGTAGGGTGAACGTACAAAAAATCAAATCTTGTTTTAGTGGGAGTGAAAGGCTGAAATTTGCAGGATATGTTCTTCATATCCTATAAAAATCATTTTTCAAAAGAAAAATTATTTTAAAAAGCCCAAGGCGATTCTAGAGGCAGTCAAAAAGTCCCAAAAATCTATCTTTTGAGCGAAGCAAGCACTAGAGTCGTGAATTGGCTTATTAAACGCGCCTTGAAGAGAGGATCATTTTCCAGCAAAAAAATTTAGTAACGAGTCACCGGTTGGCTCACAATCATCATTTGAAGTCATTTTTTTTTGTTTTTCAAAAAAGAGTCCTCCGGAGGACTTTTTGCTGGAAGAATGAATAATCTTGAAGATAGATTTTTCTTGTTAATGAAATCTTCTTTAATTTTACCAACTGTAATATTTTTGATCAAAATTTTCAGTCCAAATTTTCTGGAGGACCTCGGAGGACCTAATGATGGAAGACAAGTCTTTGGTGGAAGAAAAATAGTTTAGAAAAATAGAAGAAATAGTGCTCGGCCAGTATATGGCCACCTATGGTCAACTTTGGTCAAGTTCGGCCGGAGGACCCCCGGAGGACCTTCCTGCTGGAAGACCAGACGCTGGAAGACCAATATTTAAAATTTTCTATTATGGCTGTGCTCGGCCAATATATGGCCACCTATGGTCAACAATGGTCAAGTTCGGCCGGAGGACCCCCGGAGGACCTCCCTGGTGGAAGAGCATCAGCTGGAAGACAAAAATTAAAAAATGAAATGAAATGCCTTGCTCGGCTAAAAATTGAAAATATTGGCAAATTTAAGTCACTTTATGCCGAAGAACTCCCGGTAGACCCCTTTTGTCGGAAGACAATCAACTGAAAGACCAACATTTAAAATAACCAAAAATAAGTCAAGTCAATTCAGTGATGAAGGAAGCCACGCCGACCCAGAGATATGTGGCCACTAGATGCAGTGAAAGGCAGGGCAAAACCTTCCAAAAGAGAACAAACGTCCGTTTGTTCGGCTCGGAAAAGAGCAGATCAGAGTCAAGGCGGAGCCGACCCGAAGGGGAGGCCACGCCCGTTCATTTTATTCAATCAGAGTCAGGGCAAAGCCGACCCGAAGAGGAGGCCACGCACGCTCATTTTATTCGATCAGAGTCAGGGCGAAGCCGACCCGAAGGGGAGGCCACGCACGCTCATTTTATTCAATCAGAGTCAGGGCGAAGCCGACCCGAAGGGGAGGCCACGCCCGTTCATTTTATTCAATCAGAGTGAGGGCGAAGCCGACCCGAAGGGGAGGCCTCGCCCGTTCATTTTATTCAATCAGAGTCAGGGCAAAGCCGACCCGAAGGGGAGGCCACGCACGCTCATTCTTTTCAATCAGAGTCAGGGCGAAGCCGACCCGAAGGGGAGGCCACGCCCATTCATTTTATTCAATCAGAGTCAGGGCGAAGCCGACCCGAAGGGGAGGCCACGCCCGTTCATTTTATTCGATCAGAGTCAGGGCAAAGCCGACCCGAAGGGGAGGCCACGCACGCTCATTCTTTTCAATCAGAGTCAGGGCGAAGCCGACCCGAAGGGGAGGCCTCGCCCGTTCATTTTATTCAATCAGAGTCAGGGCAAAGCCGACCCGAAGGGGAGGCCTCGCACGCTCATTCTTTTCAATCAGAGTCAGGGCGAAGCCGACCCGAAGGGGAGGCCACGCCCATTCATTTTATTCAATCAGAGTCGTGGCGAAGCCGACCCGAAGGGGAGGCCACGCCCGTTCATTTTATTCAATCAGAGTCAGGGCGAAGCCGACCCGAAGGGAAGGCAACGCAAGCTCATTCTTTTCAATCAGAGTCAGGGCGAAGCCGACCCGAAGGGGAGGCCACGCAAGCTCATTCTTTTCAATCAGAGTCAGGGCGAAGCCGACCCGAAGGGGAGGCCACGCACGCTCATTCTTTTCAATCAGAGTCAGGGCGAAGCCGACCCGAAGGGGAGGCCACGCGCGTTAATTTTATTCAATCAGAGTGAGGGCGAAGCCGACCCGAAGGGGAGGCCATGCCCGTTCATTATATTCAAACAGAGTCAGGGCGAAGCCGGCCCGAAGGGGATCCCTTGGCCGTTTATTCTTTTTGATTAGAGTAAGGGGGAAAATGATTAAATAAATCTTTTCTGGTTCGCTTTCGTATTGTTTAATAATAGATTTTTTCGATATCCCGAATGCTGAATCTGTAATAACACCTCTCAGATGATTCAAGAGATTGGAGGGTGCAGTTAATCTCAAAGAATGCGGGATCTTGAAATGTTTAAACGGAATGTTGTTGAAATGTTTTAAATGTTCAAACCTTGCCTGAACTCAGACCTAATCAAATGATTGGACGATGATTTGATTGATTGAAAAAAAATGAACGGGCATGGCCTCCCCTTCGGGTCGGCTTCGCCCTGACTCTGATTGAATAAAATGAACGGGCGTGGCCTCCCCTTCGGGTCGGCTTCGCCCTGACTCTGATCGAATAAAATGAACGGGCGTGGCCTCCCCTTCGGGTCGGCTTTGCCCTGACTCTGATTGAATAAAATGAACGGGCGTGGCCTCCCCTTCGGGTCGGCTTCGCCCTCACTCTGATCGAAAAGAATGAGCGTGCGTGGCCTCCCCTTCGGGTCGGCTTCGCCCTGACTCTGATTGAATAAAATGAGCGTGCGTGGCCTCCCCTTCGGGTCGGCTTCGCCCTGACTCTGATTGAATAAAATGAACGGGCGTGGCCTCCCCTTCGGGTCGGCTTCGCCCTGACTCTGATTGAATAAAATGAACGGGCGTGGCCTCCCCTTCGGGTCGGCTTCGCCCTGACTCTGATTGAATAAAATGAACGGGCGTGGCCTCCCCTTCGGGTCGGCTTCGCCCTGACTCTGATTAAAAAGAATGAGCGTGCGTGGCATCCCCTTCGGGTCGGCTTCGCCCTGACTCTGATCGAATAAAATGAACGGGCGTGGCCTCCCCTTCGGGTCGGCTTTGCCCTGACTCTGATTGAATAAAATGAACGGGCGTGGCCTCCCCTTCGGGTCGGCTTCGCCCTCACTCTGATCGAAAGAATGAGCGTGCGTGGCCTCCCCTTCGGGTCGGCTTCGCCCTGACTCTGATTGAATAAAATGAGCGTGCGTGGCCTCCCCTTCGGGTCGGCTTCGCCCTGACTCTGATTGAATAAAATGAGCGTGCGTGGCCTCCCCTTCGGGTCGGCTTCGCCCTGACTCTGATTGAATAAAATGAGCGTGCGTGGCCTCCCCTTCAGGTCGGCTTCGCCCTGACTCTGATTGAATAAAATGAACGGGCGTGGCCTCCCCTTCGGGTCGGCTTCGCCCTGACTCTGATCGAATAAAATGAACGGGCGTGGCCTTCCCTTCGGGTCGGCTTTGCCCTGACTCTGATTGAATAAAATGAACGGGCGTGGCCTCCCCTTCGGGTCGGCTCCGCCTTGACTCTGATCTGCTCTTTTCCGAGCCGAACAAACGGACGTTTGTTCTCTTTTGGAAGGTTTTGCCCTGCCTTTCACTGCATCTAGTGGCCACATATCTATGGGTCGGCGTGGCTCCCTTCATCACTGAATTTACTTGACTTATTTTTGGTTATTTTTAATGTTGGTCTTTCAGTTGATTGTCTTCCGGCAAAAGGGATCTACCGGGAGTTCTTCGGCATAAAGTGACTTAAATTCGCCAATTTTTTCAATTTTTAGCCGAGCAAGGCATTTCATTTCATTTTTTAATTTTTGTCTTCCAGCTGATGCTCTTCCACCAGGGAGGTCCTCCGGGGGTCCCCGGCCGAACTTGACCAATGTTGACCCTAGGTGGCCATATATTGGCCGAGCACAGCCATCATAGAAAATTTTAAATATTGGTCTTCCAGCGTCTGGTCTTCCATCAGGAAGGTCCTCCGGGGGTCCTCCGGCCGAACTTGACCATAGTTGGCCATAATATATTATACTGGCCGAGCACTATTTCTTCTATTTTTCTAAACTATTTTTCTTCCACCAAAGACTTGTCTTCCATCATTAGGTCCTCCGAGGTCTTCCAGAAAATTTGGACCAAAAATTTTGATCAAAAATATTACAGTTGGTAAAATTAAAGAAGATTTCATTAACAAGAATAATTATTATAATAATATTAATAAATTTTGAGTTCTTCCAGCAGGGCAGCTCTTCCAGCATTGAAAGTCCTCCTTTAGTCCTCCAAGAGGTCACGTGACTAGATATGATATTAATAATCTAAAAAATTAAGAAAAAATTTTAACAAGTCTTCCTCCAGAAGGAAGTCTTCCAGCAGTTAGTCCTCCGGAGGACTTTCACATTGATAATAAGAAAGAAATTTTAAGTTAAAAATGAAAATTTCTAGTGTCAGGGACTGATCTGGAATTTCGTTACTAAATTTTATTAAAGAAAAATGGCTAAGGAATTCGCCAAAATAAGTTTTTTTTCTTCAACCCTTTTTGCTTGGCTTCGCTTGTCAATTATATACTTTGACAGCCTAAAAAAGGTTGAAAAACTTGAGAACGCCCTCCGAGAAAAAAATTTAATTAAGAACTTTGGCATGATGTATCACCATGCCAAGTTTCAGTTCAAACGGTCCAGTAGGGAAAAAGTTGATTTTTTTGTACGTTCACCCTAAATATAGGACGTTCTGTTTAGTTTCAATAAAATCATGAATTGTGCTGCATTCAGCAGTTCAACCGCTGAAGTTGTTATGAGTAAATCTAACACGGAATCGTGTTGTCTCGCCGTTTCAAAACATGCGTGGTTTTTTCGGACTAATTCATAATTGGTTTCAGCCAGAATAACCATCCCTTCTGCCGATTTCGAAATCACAAAAATTGAGCAATCGGCTCTGTTCTACGTAGCAAGGCATTCTTCTCAAATGGTTGAAAACGGAACATGTCGTAACAACCGTACAGCTCCCCGCAATAAAGTCACTTTGCTAAGGTACGCGTCAGCCTGGCGCCGATCCCTTCGTTCCAATTTGTCCTTAGTAAGAAATACTAGTGGTAAAATAAGGTTTATTTTTGACTTTGACCTTCAATTCAATACCCAAATTGAGCAATGGTCCATGGTCCATGGAATTGCTCTCAGAAAAAAGGGACCTCGAGAAAGTGGCAATTGTGCTACTTTTTACGGTCCATTGAAAGCGCGAATCTGAATGGTGGGTCAGTTTTTTGAATGGAGAGAGTGAATAATCAGTTTTATGAAGTCTTAGGACAAAAAGATTTCCTCCATTTTACAACTTTGCGTAACCACGGGGATCGAGCAAAGACGGATTAGAGAAAAGTGACAAAATTAATTAATTATTATGGCGAGTTGGTATTACGCCATTCCGATAACAATTTTTGTCCTGATCGCCATTTCTTCCTGCTTGTACAGAAGACGAATGTACCAACTGTGGCAACAGAGACAGCAGACCATAGCCGTTACTCGAGTTCCTAGAGGCCAGTGTCAACGTGTCATAATAACGACTGCTAATTATCCGCATCAACAAGGACAAATTCCTCCACAACAAATTTCGACGGTCAATACAGTCTCATCAGGTACGAAATCCATCATAAAACCTTTTCTAGCGCCCCTTTCTAGCCTTCGAACCGCCACCGTCTTATGACGACGCTGCCAGAAACTACCCAAAATACAACGATGGTAGTCAGTTCCCATCCCATCCACCTGGTTATGGAGCTCCTCAAGCTGGCGTTCCTGTAGCTGGACAGACCTCCGGATTTACAAACAATGCTTTCCGCTAATCCTTATTTATGACTGAAAGAAAAACGACTGAAAATAAAGAAAACGACAACATGTGATATTTTTGAATAGAAATTCTTTTATTGGAGAACTCAGACGGAGGAGCTTCTTTTCTTAGGCGAGCTCGGGAGATGCTGGACCCAAGCTGACTGGATGACATCCTGAAGTGATATTCTCGAGTACTCGTGGATGCAAAGAACGCGGTTGATCAGCTGCTGGGCTTCTTCGCTCAATCGCTGTTCTTTCAAAAAGTTGCGCATGAATCCATTTTCTTCCGAGTACTTCCATTCGCCAGCGAGAAGCAGGTACAAAATCGACCCAAGGGACCAAACAGTCACTGGTCCGGGCTTGAAGCTTCCGTGGCTCTTGAATTCTGGCGGCCAGTAGGCAGCTGTTCCCGAAGGTTTTTCGTAGCGATCTTGGACCTTTTTCGCGCAGCCGAAGTCGATGATTTTGATTTGAAGGGTGTCGGGGTTGATGAGTACGTTTTCGTCCTTGATGTCAGAATGCATCACTCCGCCCAGATGCATTTTGTAACAAGCGATGACGATTTGGGTCCAAATGATTCTCGCGTTTTTCTCGCTCTGGACGCCGTACTTATTGCAGAAGTCGAACAGGTCCATCGTTCCTTCGGGCTTTTCCATAGCGACCGCGAAGTCGTCTTCTCGCTCGATCCAATCGAGTGGCTTGACGATGAAGGGACGGGCAAGGGAAAAGGCTTTGACGTGAAAGTAGATCTCTGAAGGACATCGAATGCCCTTGACATCGGCATAGGTTCGGACGGAGGATTTTGGGAAGAACTTGACCACGACGTCGCGGACTTTCTCTCGGGTCAAAAGATCGATTTCGATTCCGTTGTAGAGGGTTCCGTTTGCTGACTGCATCAGGAGGGAGGTTATTTGGAATCTCGTGAAGAAAGTTGGATGCTTTCGGGATTCGAGCTTCTTGCTGTTTGTACTCATTTTTTCGTTGCTTGCTTGTTGTTTGTAATTTTATGATTGGAACATCGAAATTTGCTTGTTTATAAACTCCTGCTCTGGCGCTAGAATTGCTGTGGCACCTGAATGATTCTGAAAAGCTGTCTTCCTGGAAGAAGCAATCAAGGAGCAGTGACGCAGCTGATTGACAGCAGGTGTATTACGGAAGGTTACAATTTCCTAGTACTGAGAATGATGAACGAACTGTACCCAGCATAGTTTCTGAAAATTCTCCCTCCAAAATAGTAGAATCCTCAAAAACTGATCAAAGCTACCAGCTGAGCGCTAACCGCAAACCACCTCTTCCCACATATTTAACCCCGTGAAACTTTCTACTTTCTCATATTTGTAAAAAGTTTTAAACTGAAAGAAGTGCTAAAATCTTTTTTTTTATAAATCGCAGCGGAAGTCGCAGCGATGAGAGGCATCTCTTTTGCTCTGTGTTTGGCTGCTTGGGCTGACGCTGGTCCGAGGCCGCCCGGTTGGGCGAAGAATTTATTTCAACAGGGGGAAGTGCCGAGGTTGAAGACGATTTCAATCACTTCGTACAACAATCCAAGGAGATTATCGCAAATTTCAAGGAGCAATTCTTCTCGTCGACCACCCGCACAGGCTCAGAAAAGCACCTGCATCCAGCAGTATGGCGTTGAAGGCGCGATTTCAAACCCCCGCGAACCCTGCTCTTTCGCGGACGGCTGCTATCCTGCAAACGCCGACCTCTGCTGGGAAGTCAAAGCTGATTGCTCGATGATCGAAGCTCGTTTTACCAAATTTACTGTCGAGGAAAAAGCAGAAGCGCTCATCGGCTGCCCTTACGATTTTGTCCAGCTCTCTTACGGGCGCGAGGAAGCGACTTTCTGCGATCATTCAGCTGCAAAGATCTCAAAATCAATGGCTGCTTCGGGGAGAACGAATGATCCGAGGTTCACCGGCTGGTTCGAGTGGACCAATGTTTTCTCGGATGAGCTGAAAGTGAAGCTGAAATCGGACTCGTCTGTGCAATTCTACGGGTTTGATCTTGAATGGCGTTGTGTGCCAGAGCCGACTGCTCAAACAACGACTCAGGGAATGATTCCTTTTGCCAGGGCGCTAGAATTGGCTCCAAGGAACTTTTGCAAAGAAATAGAAGGCGGAAAAAGTGGAGAATTGGCGAATGAACGAGCGCAGTGTGCAGAAAAAGAAGGCCTTTGCTACTCCAAGGGCTTGTCAGAATGCTGGAAAGTGCAGACTCAATGCAAGAGCATCAGACTTCGATTTAATCAATTTGAAGTTGAGGAGCCTCAGACGGCTGTAAAAGGAAGAAACAAATGCTCAAAGGATCGAGTTTTGATGATTTTTGGCGGCAGAGAAGTTGAGTTTTGCGATGAAAGTCTGAACAATGAGAAAATGAAGAGGAAAAATCAAAGATCGGATCCGTTTGTCGCCGGCTGGTTTGGCTGGAAAGTGATTGAAGAGAGCGAGTTTCAAGTGAAGCTCGAATCGAATGAGGAAAATGAATTCTATGGATTTGATCTTGAGTGGGAATGCGAAGAAGAAATGGAAGAACAGGCAAGGGTGCAAGAAACAACAACAGAATTGCCAACAACAACCGAGTTTTTCACAACAACCGAGTTTTTGCCGACATCAACAACGGTTGTCTCAACTACTGAATTCCTGACAACAACAACGACAGTCATCTCAACCACGGAATACGCAACTACATCAACCACAGTTGTCGAAACAACCACACTTCCAGAAGAAACAACAACTTTTGTGACAACAACGACGATGGGTCCTACATCGACAAATATTCTTACTACGACCTGGCCTGCATCAATCACCACAACTTCCTCCTCGACTACCACTACGACAACAACTACGACGACGACAACTCCAACATCCAAGACTTCCAAGAGCATGACTCGGACTTGGACAGCTTCAGCTCCCAACCCAACCGCTTCTGATTTCGATCTCAGAAACGTCGAGGACTTGATCGTCTTCCTGACTCAGAAATCAACCTTCCTGGTCGAAATGATCACCAGCTACGATTGCAAGTTCTCCAAGCTCTTTCATATCAAAGCAAAAGTCCCAATGTACCAGAAGCGATTTGCAAGGCTCTTCCGAACCGTCATTTTTCGGGAGTCCTTTCCTGAAAAATACGCTGCCGACGCTGCGAAACTTGTCAATCGACCCTGCCAATTCCTCAAAGGTGGAATCAGAATCCCTGTCAGCGAAGATTTGATGCAAAAAGTCACGAGTCATTTTCAATACAGTAAGATTCTAGATGCTTTTGTTTAACTTCATTGATATCATAGATGAGAACGATCGAGAAAACAACGATTTCACCGCCTACGAGGAGTTGCGAGGGATGAAAGTCATTTACGACCAACTGCTGGCTGAGCAATTTCCTGTCAAGGGATTAGCAGTCAAAGTACTTCCCGGCTCGTGCTCAAATGCGCAGGTGACTACCATGTACAGCAAGATGAATACTTTCGCACGATTGATCGATTCCATTGGCAAGTTTGTCGGAGGAAAAGAAGCGTTGTACTGCTAGAAGATTTAATACTGTAATGAACTGATGAAGGGAAGAATCGAGCTTGAGAGCAAAAATAGTACTTTATGAAGGAACAAAATTTCTTATCATTTATCAGTTAGGCGATAAAAAAATTTGCTTTTTATCTTTATCCTTTTAAAGCATAAAATTAAAAATTATCATTTTTCTTAGTGCGTGAAGATTGATAACGGATTAATTTTTGGCTAAAGTCAAAAGATGATTAAGCAAATAATAAAAAATAATATTCCTGAGAGTACTTGTATAAAAATAATTTGCTTTATGAAGGCTCTAATTTGTTTGAAAGAGATCAATATCTTTTTTATCAGCCTGAGGTTCAAAGTCTGTACATAAAAATAATTTTATAAAAAAAACTGTACCGGTACTTTTAATAAAAATTAAGAGAAATGACGGCCATTGATTCAGAATCAGTGATTTCGCCCGATCTCAAATAAAATTAAGTTGGAAATGAAAAATAATTGCTGCATATTTTCCCGCGTTTTTCCGGATGAGAACGTCCCTCCGTCTCTGACGAATTCTATGACGTTTTGAATGTATCGGACTTCATTTCCTCCTGTCACTAAATCACAATCCTCATCACCGGGTTGATAACTAAGCAAGCTCAGCAGGATATTTACTTTTAGTCTCCAGCCGAGAATTTCGGAGCACCTGGCGCCTTCGTTCGGACAAATCACTGCATAAAAACGATCAAAACTGATTTTATTCAACAAAAATTGGCGAAAGAAAAAATTCAAAAAAAAAATCGTTTCAAGCTTTTTTTGAAAAAATGATGTTCGAGATCGTCTGCTTCCTGACCATGACTCTTGTTTCTGCCGCTGTAATTCTGATAATAATAAAGTACCTACTTAAAGCAAATCGAGAATCCGCTCGCGGCTTCGAGTCAAACAAAAATTAAGCCGCGCACTCAATCGCGCGGCTTTTTTCTCGTGTTTCGCTCGAAACCGCGAGCGGCTGCTCGGTTTTCTTCTTTGAAATCTTGTTTTGGATATATTTGGATTTAGATTTCAACCCTTTTTTCGAAGGTGATTGATGGCCCGAATGCCGGAAGCAATAAGGAAGGAGAGAATTGACTAGCGCTTTTCGCCGTTTTTCCGAAATTAATTTTTACGAGTCGCCTCTGAATCATGAAATTCGCTTCTCTTCGCTTTCTCTCTTCTATTCTTGGTTTTTTTATGGTCGCCGCTCGTAAAATCCCTTCCCCGAGAATCGAATGAGAAGTCGTCATTCCATTGAAACTCTACCGACACTATCGCAGAGAGGTGAGACCTGACTTCGACCCAGTTTTTTGGAACGCGCCGGGGAAAAAGAAGAAAGAGAGGATTTATCATTCCGGATTTATTCAGAAAAAGAGACGCTTCTTTGATCCGCTGGAGAGAAAGTTATTGAATAAGGTGAGTAGCAGCTTAATTTTCATAATAATTTTTATGATAAAAAATGGCTAAATTTTCTACTTTTCGAGTTAAAAAAGGGGCCAAAAGTTTTCCGAAATCTATGTTGACACCCTTAATACTCAAACTTTGATTATCGAGAATAGACTGAGTTTTCTAGAGACGTTTTGGACGCTTCAAAGCTTCAAAACTTCATGATCGTAAAATCGAAAAAAACTTATTTCCCTATTTTAGCCTCTGCCTTCTTTCCCTTCTTTATTTTTTCCCTCAGCTGCCAGTGAATCAGAAGACGAGAGAGAAGCATCAGCGTCAGTCGAAGATTGTTCTCTTTCGATCGGGATTTGTGCGAATTCACCTCAAAGTCATCACGAAGTGATAAGAACGAATTGAGCCAGCGCCTGGCCCAGTGGAACGTCCCAGCGAGCAGAAATCCAAAGTCCAAAATTAGAACAGCCTTCCTGCCACATTTTGGTTCAAAAAGCTGAAATAAAAAGAGATCTTCCTCTTCGAGCCGAAATCATCAGACAAAAAAGGTAGGAGTCGATAAATAAGGACTAAAATTTTTCGACCAAAATTCTGTTCATTTTCTTAGATGATTTTTTACTGTATCTGGTACCAGTTATTCTAGCGCCCGAAAGAAGATTTTCCTGTAAAAAAATTTTCATTTCATTATTTTGATTATTCAAAAAAACGAACCCAGGAGCGGAATAAGTTCTCCAATTCACTTTTCATCAAGCGGAAATAGTTCCTAACTTCCATCATAATTAGATATTTTTTCGAGCCATTGGCGCGCTCCTTTTTTGAGAGTATTTTTGAGAGGCGAGGAAAACCTGGGCCTGGGGCGAGTGAATTGGCGAGGGCCTTCTGCCGCCGCGCCTGGGGTACTGATAAGCATTTCTATTTGAGAGGTGAGAGATGGATCATTCGCAGCCACGCAGATTTGAACTTGACGAGTTCTAGTGGCGCGCTCGAGCGAAATTACAGTAATCGCCCTTGAGGTGATGCCAAGATAAATTCTTGTTTCAAAAATCTGAAAATCCAGACTGAAGATTTGGAAAAGAAATCTGCGGCGGGATTGACAAAAGATACAATTTTTTTGATGAAAAAGGCGGATCAAGGGCGGCTCATCCGACTCATATTTTTTTGCTTCTTCTTCCTGGGCGAAATCATTCATTCGCCCCGAGAACTGGAAACGACAGAATCGTAAAAATCACCTTTGAAGTGAAGCCACTGGAACAACCGCCCCAACAAATCACCTAAACATTCGATTTACTAGAGAGCTACTTCTTGAGGCTAGGATTTACGATTGCTGTTTGATAAAGGAAAAATATTGATAAAAACAGGTACTGAGCAAATAGCCCCGTGGAGAAAACCTGACTCAGGTTTTTGGCAAACTCAGGTTTATCTTGAAAACTCAGGCTTTTCGTGAAAACTCATGTTTTTCGTGAAAACTCATGTTTTTCGTGAAAACTCAGCTTTTTCGCGAACACTCAGGATTTCGTGAAAACTCAGGTTTTTCGCGAAAACTCACGTTTTTCGTGAAAACTCGGGTTTCTCGCGAAAACTCAGGATTTCGTGAAAACTCAGGTTTTTCGTGAAAACGTTGTCGTTTTTTCTCGAAGTTGAGTATTTTCAAGGTCGTAATCTTTCACTTCACTTCCTTCAAAACATATTTTTAACCATCATAAAAAATGCGAATTATGAGCAAATAAATAGAACGTCTGAAATTCTCGCGCCGCGTCATAAATGCTCCACTGTCTAAGACTTTCTTTGTAGCTGGTCGAGGATTCTCAGACAGGGCGGTCCTCTCCTTCTTTCTTTGTTGTTGATTCCAAAAAAGAGAGTAATTTTTTAATTGGCGAATTAGCGAATTTCCGGCTTTGGAAGGCTTCGAAGCCGCCTTTGCAGAATTATGAATGTTAAGTCTGTCCCGATTCGTAATTAGCAGCGGCGGCGGCTTTGATGATTCCGAATTTCCGTTCAGCCCGACTGAATGCGAAAAATCCCCTCACCCGTTTTACGATATGGCGCTCACAAGGAAGTCATTCTCACTTTTTCCTTCCTTTTCCGAAAAACACGCTAGAAACAAAAAATTATCAGAGAAATTATCAGACCAGCCTTTTTTTAACCAAGCGATTTTGTCAATTTTGGACACTAAAAAAAAGGTAAATATCAAATTAAAAAATGAGGAAAGCACCTGTTTTTATGATGAGTCAGCATTTTAATGATCATTATCGTAGTTTTCATCATATGATTAAAAAAGAAAAATAATCGTTTGAAAAAAACCACCTTGTGAGAAAAATCTCCTTTGTTACGACCCAGGAACAGACCGAACCCCGGAAAAATAGAATTTAATTTTAACGACTGAACTCGCTCTTTTTCCCACCGCCAATCCATCATCAATTCTTTTCCTGATGATTTATCGGCCGTAAAAAAGTTTAACACTCCAGCCACTTCCATTTTACCTTATTTGGATTCTTTTTTTTCTTCCATGATTTCAAACCTCAAAATTTTAAGCTCGAAAAATCGAGAAGCCGCTTGCGGCTTCGAGTCAAAAAATAGCGCGGCTAAAATGCTTTCTTGACTCGAAGCCACGCGTAGCGCGGCTAAAATCTATTTTTGACTCGAAGCCGCAAGCGGCTTCTCGATTTTCAATTCACCAAATCATTTTTTTCAACGATCAAAGAACCAGTTTTTGGCTTCTTTTTCGAACCAAAACAGGCCCTTTTTTCATTTGAAAAAGGAAAAGAAAACATGCAAGTGCGATGACAATGTGTCGAAAGCGTTCAACCCCGATCTGCCGTTTCCATTTGAAAAGGACCAAATTCGGCAGTTTGAGAGACACTTAGGGACATCTGATTTTCGCGTTATCGGGGGGCTGCTGTCCGATTGCGATTTTCGCCCCGGGGCGCAGAATTCGCACTTCAAAGAGGTGTTGGGCACGCGGTGGCGTCGCAGATTGTCGCATTAAACCCTCTAGTTGGCGAAGTGGAAGCGTCACATTCTACTCAAACGTTCTATCGAAATCAGAATCAGACAGAAAGAGTCTGTCCATAGAGATAAGGAGACACTGCCAGCAGACACCGTAGCGCACATCCCATTCAAGCCAAAAAAAGAGAGAATCCAAAACAGGTAGAAATTTTCATTTTTTTCAAGAAAGAATTCTTTGAACTTGTAAAATCCAAAATTGCGGCTCTTTTGATTACGAGAGTTTTTACGGTGTGCGAATGGCGAAAAAGAGAAAAAGTAGAAGCGGCTATTCCGCTTTGAATCGCCGGCATTTACAATTCTGGCTCGCAGCTTTATAACCATAATTAACGCACTAACCTTGGTTCAACAGCGAATTTCAATTTTCTACCAGAGTTATTATGGGCTGCTCAAGTTTCAAAGGCGAACATTTAATGGTCAATCTTTCCACTGTGTTCTCTAAACCTGGGCTCGGGATCCTGTGTGCAAAACCTGAGTCAGGCTCTAAAAGAGCAAAAATGAAAAGCCGCGCAGCGGCTTTCTTGAAAACGAAGCCGCGAAGCGGCTTCGCGAGTATTGCCTTTTCACCCTATTTTAACATTCTTGCGAAGCCGCTTCGCGGCTTTGTTATTAAAAAAGCCGCTACGCGGCTCTTCATTTTCGCTCTTTTAGAGCCTGACTCAGGTTTTGCACACAGGTTGCCGAGCCCAGGTCTAAACTAAGCAGAAATCATGGTTTATGGTTTTCTGAGTCAGGAACCTGAATTAATATACTGAAATAATGAAAGTGAAAAATATTATGAATCCAAATCGGACTCATGGATTCCTTCCTCGTAAATCTGCATTCTCCCCCACCTCGTCACAGGCGAATAAGTTGGCCAATTTCAAGTTCTTTGTATGCCTATTTTGAAACGTAGAAGGAGTTAATTTCTGGCGTGGAAGAAGTCGTTTTTGTTCGCGCGCAGTTGACTGATTCAGAAAGACCAAAAAACTTAACCCGTAAAATCGTTTTTCAGGCAAGAAACTCAACGAAGAGAGAACGACTTCGAAAAAGTAAAAGATGATGGAGCTGGAGCTCATGAAAACTTCGCTGCCTCATGCTTGTATGAACGCGGAACTGCCGTCAGAGAAATCGATGATCACCAATGACGACATCGTCGAGGTGGTCGATTCTGGAATCAGCGAAAGCGACAAAACTTTGGAGTTCGACGAGACATTGAACAACGCGATTATTCGACCCAACTTGGACAGCATCAGACGCATTCTCGGAGCGGATGGAACTGAGCAAGCGCGAAAAGTTGTGGAAGAAAACACAGGGCTCATTCCAAAGTTTTACAAGGTAAGATCAGCTTTTCGAATCGAAAATAGAATTGCCCAAATTCTAGCCCTACAAACTGCTCGAACAAACCGAATCTGGCAAGACTGTATCGCTCTACAAATGCAACTTCTGCGAGCAAGGTATGACTCATCCCTTCCTTGCTAAATTAATGTCCCTATCTGTAGTCTATCGAGGACACAACAGTATCGTCTACCACTGCCGCCGACACATTGGCGATTATCCATATCGCTGCGATGACTGTGGCTTCGTCGAGGTGTGCAAGGTCCGTCTTGAATGCTTGTTTCCCTCCTTTTTAAAGCTGTTTTCTAGTCTGGCCTCTCGTCTCACATGAATCGGACGGGTCACAAGAACTGTCGTAAAATCGACGCGACGCCCGTTCCCGGCCAGAACGCGGCCCAAGTCTCCACCCAAATCACCTCCAAAGCGCGCCCTCAAGCTGCCGATCTGGTAAATTGCCCTTTCCTTTGTTCCTTCATTTACGAATGATTATTTTCAGTTCAATCCCCTCAAAAGTCGCAATAATAAGCGTTCGCCCTCGTCCATGCCAGGTACGCCTTCTTCGCTAGAACCTTCCCTAATCTTCCCTAGATTATGTTCCATCAATGTCTCATTCGCCAAAACGCTCCAGAGTCGAGCAAATCGACCTGCCAGTCCCAAATCCTCATCAAACTGCAAATCCCTGGAGGTAAAGAATCGCTCATCCTTCTGAACAAAAATTCACGAAAATTTATAGACCGGATGTGCTCGAATCAATCAGAAATTTCCGCAAAAACTTTGACGCCGACGCTTTCAAAAGCTTCCAGAATAATCAGAAGAACTTTTGCATGGTCGGTGGCAAAGGCTTTTCGACGCCAAAAGCAGAATCCGATGAGGACTCTAAATTCAGGTACGTTTTTCTGACAATTTTTCTGAATAAAAAAATCTCTAAAGTGATCCAAAATCGACGTCGGAGGACTCCGAAATCGAAGAAGTTGAAATCATAGAAGAGGAAGAGCCAGCCAAGCACTCGCAAAAGCCCTCCGAATCTACTAAAGAATGGAATTTCTGCCAAAAGTGCCGAGCAGGATGGTACAAGAGCGAAGCCAATTTCCTCGTACACCCTTGTTTTGCCTAAATAATAATCTATCTTTTTGTAAATTAATTTAACACTATCAAAAAGAGCACCTCACTTGCCTTGAAGAACAACAAAAAGAGCGGCTCGACATTCAAACTAAAAAAAATAAAGCCTCAATACTTCAATCTTCTCAAAACAAATTGATCGTAGCCGTAATACACCTTTCTCTGTTTTCATCACTTCTTATCATTTTATACCTTCTTTTTTCCTCTTTTTTTTCTTGCAAATCTTGTACAGAGAGTTATCTACTTCAAATGAACCTATCTATTGCAAATGACATTACTGTATATTTTCAAGACTGAAGTCTTGGCTCGTCAACCTTTGTACAAATACCTGAGTCAGGGTCTGAAAAGCTCATATGAAAAGCCGCGCAGTGGCTTATTTATAAACGAAGCCGCGAAGCGGCTTTGCTAATAATTCTATTTGCGGCTTCGCTTATAAATAAGCCGCTGCGCGGCTTTTCATATGAGCTTTTCAGACCCTGACTCAGGTATTTCTATACAGTTTCCGTTGCTCAGACGGAAGTCATATGCAAAAATCTTCAAAAATAAAAAAAGTCCTACAAAAATAGTTTTTATACTTCGTTGTATTTACATTAAAATAACATATTCAAGTGCTTATACAGGGGTTCCTTCATCGACACAGCCGATAGAAAGGATCCTCTTGAAAAGAGTTGAAATAGAAGAAAAGTTGTTGTTGTAAATATCTTGTCGGATTCGGTACTCTTCGATTTTCTGAACCTTTCTTTTTTCAACATGGGCTTTTCGCGTCTTTGGTCGAAGAGAAGTTGATGCTTTTCGTGTTTTTCGGGAAGTTTCGACCTTTTTCAGCGAGCGAGCGAAGAAGGCGTCCATTTCGGAAAGGGCTAGGTCGGAAGTTCGGGCAGCAATCATTGCGTTGGTGTTGTTGATGATGATTGTTGGTTTTGATGATATTTTGCCAAATCGACTCATCATACCTTTATACTGAATGGTTTGGAGCGCCAAAGAGATCTAATAATAACAGGTGAGCTCATTGTCAGGTGGCCATTACAGTCTAATGCGCAGGTGATACACTTAATGATCATCATTAGGGAGATTCGCCTGGCGATAAGCCTCGTAGCATACGATTTTATATGTTACATATAATATGTACCTACCGATGATAGCAGACTCGAATCCGGGGTTACGCCGCCACTAAGAGAATCCTGTATTGCGATTGGCTGACCGGATAACCTGTTCGCCATCCGTGGCGAACAGCTTCAAATCCCGAGCAAAGGCCTGCTATCACCGGTATATATATATTATATACAGGTATACATACAGTTATTGGCGTACATTTTCACGCACACTTATAGATCTGAAACCGATTTCCGTTCCGTTCTGACGGTGAATCACAAAGGTTTACACTTCAATCGGATATTTCAGACGTAAATGATCATTTTCAAACCTTAAGAATGTGCGTCTTTTTTCGGAAAAAATAATCATTTTTCAACTGGAATAATTTCCATAAATTATGGACGATAATCATCTGCACTATAAAAGCGACCTGATTTTTCAGAAAAATGTAAATCAAAAATGAAATTTGCCAAAATTACTCTTTTTTCTGCTGCTTTCGCTGATCTTCTCTCAATAAACCGAGCGATGAATACCTTCAACTTCCATCGGAATTCTGATGAAAAGCTGATGTTGTCGCCGGAAGAGGATCGACTCCTCCAAAACATTTTCAGATTCAACAGCGCTATCGGCAAAGAATATGAGCGTTTCGTAATCCGCAAACAAGCGGAAACCTCTTTCAAGAGACAGAAAAATCTGAACTTCCGAAAGTATCACAATAAAACTTAATCATCTGGCAAAGGATCTGCCTTAATCCTTATTCAGTAAGTTCTTCATAAAAAAACAAAAAATCTTCTCTCAGTCAACTTTATTTCATGTTCTTCGTTTTAGTGTGCTCAAAAACATTTTCTTTGTAAATTTTTATTGGTTTTCTCTCACCTGTATTTTTCTATTTTATTTCATGTTTTTTCGATGTGTTCAATAATTGTGTGATTTTTCTTGCAAAAGTTCATCTGGATAAAAATACGAATAAAACTTACTGAATAAAGGTTACTTCAAAGAGTTTATTTATCAAGAAAAAAATGAAGAATCATTTTTTATTATCAAATACAGTAAGTTAACTTCCGTCTTAATTTCTTGAGAAGGAAATACCTTTCTCTATGTCTCTGTAGAAATTTCTGACCAGAAGGACATCTTTATAAGGCCAAGGTCGAGCGGCCCTGGCAGTGGGAAATCAACAAGTCTAAGGATGACTGAGCGTAGTAAAACTTTCAACTGACTAATTCGACAAAGAAAGGCCGCGCGCAGGGCACTTAAAATCATTATTCTCTTCAATCTTTTTAAGAGCCACGACGAAATATAAAAGAAAATTACGAAAATATTAAAAACATAAAAACAAAAGATAGAGAGAAAAGGAAGAACAATGAGCTCCAGAAGAGCGAGGTCAAAATCATCAAATAGCCTCAAATCGGTAAAATAAAAAATATAATTTTAAGGATCCCCAGTAGTATTATCCTTTTCGTTTTGCGCGTTCGCACTATTCTTCTGAGAACAAACATCGCGGGGCGCGCGCTCATTGGCGGGCGCTCCGCCAATAGCGCTCAAAATTTAAAATTCAAGTTCAAAATCATTTTTCTCAAAAGAGAAGTTTTGCATGTTTTGTGTTGTTGTTTGTATTGTTTTGGATTGTTCAACACGAATTCTTGAATAATTCATGTAATAGCCAGTATTTTTACCAGGTTTTTTTATAGATTTGCTTTCGAGAAAAAACACGAGAAGATATGAAGAAAATCAACGAAGAAGAAATAAAGATAAGTAAAAAATTCAATAATTTTCTAATTTCAACATTAAATTTGGTGAGCAATGCGCTCCAGACTTAAAATAAGGGTTGAATAAAAACTGGGAGAGCTTGGTATCACTTGTTTGGATCTCGGTCCTGGGAAGTTTCTCGCTCATAATTAGGCTTTTTTAGTATTAGTTAGATTTTTAAGTCTGTGAGCATCGTGCTCCCATTATATTTAAAAATTTAATAGTTATAATTTTTCTAAATTCAAATCTAATCTAAAATGGTGAGCAATGCGCTCCAGACTTAGTTAGGCTTTTTAGTATTAGTTAGATTTTTTAGTCTGTGAGCACTGTGCTCCCGTTTAATAGAATTTAGTAGATAATATTATTAACACGTTAAAATAGAAAAAATAAACTATATTTTCAGCCCCAGCGACTGGAAGGAAGCTGACTTCGGCATCAAGCAGCTCTACGACGCTAACTGGATTATTTGCAACCCAACTACTCCAGGTAAAGCTTACCAATTTAGATCTTTCTTCACTAAAATTCTAGCCAACGTCATGCACGTCCATCGACGACAGATCGCTCTTCCATTCCGAAAGCCCTCATTCTCATGACTCCCAAATCTCTTCTTCGACTTCCAGAAGCTCGATCCGAATGGTCAGAAATGGACCCTGGCACACAGTACAGACGACTCATCGGTGAAGAAGGCGCTGCCTCCAAGGTAAAATAATATCCTTCATTCATTACTTAAACTTTGCTCCATTCAGAACCCAGATAACGTCAAGCGACTGATATTCTGCTCTGGAAAGGTCTACTACGATCTCGTCAAAGAGCGAGCTGCCCGAGGCTTCGAAAACGATATCGCTATTGCACGAGTTGAACAGGTACTTTCAGCTTAGAGAGATCAAAGGCTACATTTTATTCTAGGTCGCTCCATTCCCATACGATCTCGTCATTCCCGAGCTCGAGAAATACAAGAACGCCGAAGTCTACTGGGTCCAGGAAAAGCACAAGAACATGGGTTTCTACGACTTCTGCAAGCCTAGACTGCGAACTGCATCCAACTGGTCCCGCCGAGTCCACTACGCTGGCCGAGACTCCGCCGCCTCCGCCGCTGCTGGTTCCAAACAAGTAAGATTTCAGCCAAATTTGCAAAAGCTATTTTGCGTTTCAGGTTCACAAGATCGAGCAGGACAAATTCATGAACGACGCTTTCCGAAAGGGCGCCAAGGGTCGATTGTACAAATAAGCCACCTATTCTATCACTTACAAAGTACTGATTCCTTCCACAAAGAAAAACTATTGTCCTTAAAGCTTGTGTGTTCCCTTTTCTCACCTCCGTTCCTGTTGTTCAATAATTTATTAAAATAATGCACCTACATGCACAAACCTCCCTCTCTTCCCTTACGTTCAACAAAAAAAAACTTTCTAAAAATCCAACTACTAAAAATTTTGCCTGTTTTGTGTCTGAGGAAAAAAAAACTGAAACTCTTATTTATTCGGCCATTCGTTGTTTTGGCCCCGCAATTCATTGTAGCCTTCAGTAACTGGTATCAGCTAATCAAAGTAAAAATACAAACTGTGTGTACTAATAAGTTGAAAATACAGTAGAGCGCAGTCCGATACAGTGCTCAAAAAGTTACTTGTAATGAGCAGTAAGGCGTCGAGTAAACCGATTTTGCGAAGAGTTTATGATCATTTAGACAGGTAAGAACGATTCTAGACGTCGAAACGGCTCTAGAAATGAAAAAAACATGGCTTATCAACTTTTCAGTGAGCCTGAAGATCTGAGAAAAAAGCTCTCTCGGGTGCGTGATTCTTTCGATGCTTTGGACAAAGAACTTTTTCCCTCTGGCAGGCCGAAAGATATCTACCGAGAACCCCAGCTTTTTCCTGGAACAGAAGATGGGAGGGATAAACATCATCGTCGAGTCAGAACTGTCAAGCCTGTGTTGAAACGAATCGTTGATCCGATCGAACCTTCCAGCGGAGAAGAAGATGATGATCTTGTGATTGTCGATTCGAAGCCGGGAAAATCAAGAAAGCACCGGAAAAGGTCGGGTTTCCGGGAAAGAAGAAAGAAACGAAAGCGGTCGAGATCTTCTAGTCCAAGTTAGAGTTGCAATTTCCCTTAGAGCATGCCCATTTTGATCTTTCTTTTTTCAACTCTTTCAAAAGTCGAAAGCATCGCTCAAGATCGCGCAGTCCTATCCGCCGGCGAAAGAATCGATCCAGAAGTACAAGCAGAAGTATGCATTACTGCTCGAAGCATCGATCGAAAAAGTCCAGAAGTGAAAAGAGGGAGAAACGCTTGAGTCGTCGGAAAAGCAGTTCTACGAGTAAAACACAAGAAAAACTTCCTCAGACTCTTCCTCCTCGACAGAACAACGACGAGCTCATCGAATCTCCCAAATGCTGTTTCTAGTGGCGATCAGTCCTGTTCAAGAACTGCTAGCTCTGATGTCTCTCGCACAGGCGTTCTCCAAAAAGAACAAAAGGGCAGTACAACCGATGTCTGGTCAGAAGCATCAATCAGAAATGCTCGACTCTCGATGATGATCGTGCAAGTGGATAAAATCCGAAACAAGGTGAAAAAAAATCGAAAATTCCCGAAGCACACGCTGAAATCTGTTGGATAGTTCCTCATCATCAGAGCCGATTACTGGCCGCTCGACTGAATCTGATGGAGATAAGAATGCTGACACTAGGACTCTCCCTGCTCGAGCTGTTGCTAGTCAACTCGACGCTTATTTTTGATGGTAGCTTGTCTTACAGCAAACGCACGGTAGAGCATCTTTTCCTAGGTAATATCATCTGCCATCGTGGACAAGTAAATCGGTGAATCTGTTTGTCTCATCCGCGAAATGTTCAACTACGCTCGCGACAATCAACCCTGCATTATTTTTATGGACGAAATCGACGCTATCGGTAGCAGACATCTTTCAGAAGAAATCTCTGCTGATTGTGGAATCCAAAGGTATCTTTACTTCATTTTTTCTAAAGCTTAATGTCGCTCGCAGTACTCTGATGGAATTGCTCAATCAAATGGACGACTTCGACACGCTCGGAAAGGTGAAAATGATCATGGCGACGAACAGACCTGACACGCTGGATCCTGCACTTTTGCGACCCGGTTGTTTGGACAAAAAGATCGAAATCCGTATGAAGCCACCTTAGAAAATCCTTGATCTAAACTCAATTCTAGCACTGCTAAATGAGCAAGCTCGACTTGACATTTTGAAGATTCACTCGCGTCCACTCGCTACTCACGGAGGAATTGACTTCGAGGTAATCTTGTTTTCGCTTCTCTCCCTTTTTCACCCCTTTTTAATAGGCGGTTGCCAAGCACTCGGATACATTTAATGGAGCTGATTTGCGAAACATTTGTACAGAAGCAGGTCTTTTTGCAATTCGATCCGAACTCTTCAACAAAGCCGACCACTCACTTTGCAAGAACAACGAGACAAACTATTTCTCTCTCTCTCTTTTCTTTTCTTATCATCACTGTTTCTTTTTGTCAACTAGTCATTCAATACAAAGGCGATTGTTCACACGCATTCTTTAATTCAAAAAAAACTCGTGTTTTATCTTTCCTTTGCAATATAAGATTCATGATGGAAATAGAAAACTCAGCACTCGTTTGATATTTCTGACAGTTATCCTTATCTGTCTGCAGCGCGCATAAATTTAGACAGTTTTGTAATGGTGAAATTGTTGGCCGATCTCAAAGTAGGAGAAATTCGTAAAGAGCTTGCTTCGGTGCAAGAAAGTACGAGGGGCAAGAAAGCTGAGCTTCTCCAAAGATTATCCGACTTTTTGACAAGCAATGACTTTAATCCCGATACCTACGATTTTGCTACTCATTCTCTGATGCCGGTATCTGACGGCGAAGGAGAACTTCACATTGTCGAAAATGAGCAAGAATCCTCTGCCACGGACGCAGAAGACCATGAAGTCCAAGAAATTCACGATGGAACCTTGAGAGTGACAGTTTTCGAGTCGAAGGATGAAGCTGACAGCCAATGTGATAATCTCCAAAATGGGGTTAAATTCGTGCACAAGCCCCATCGGTCGTTTCTACGACTTATGCAATCCAAGGGGGTCCCCAAACGCGGGAAAGATTGGCGATCATGGGAAACGTCGGCTATCGGGGTCATTCTACAGCCAATTTTTGGGTTGGATGGTTTTGGCGATTACGACTTTGCAGTTGTGGAGGAAATAAAAAAAACTCGAACTGGGCTAGAGTTTAGACATTGCATAGAGAGATTAGACTTGTTCTATTCTCTAAACATAACACCAGATGAGAATGGGGCTGTCTTAGGTGATGAGTACATACACACCATCGACAAACTTCTCTGTGCAGAAAAGAAGCGATTTTGTCTTCCCCAGCGCCACGAACTTACTTCATTTATTTATACACCAAAAAGCAAATGGAAGAGAAAAGAAAAAAAACAAGTTAAATTGCACATCTCGCCTGATAACTACCCCATCCTCGAATGGAAACATTTCCAGTCCATCGCCGAATGTTTCATCACCAAAAAACATCGGTACTACAAACTTTACATGAAAGAACGAAGCAAAATGACGAATGGAGTTTTCCGGAAACATATACGACAATCAGCAAGTGATTTTCATGCCCGATATGGTGATATAACAGCAAGATCCCATCTTGTGCAAATTGATCATATTGATGATTTTGAAAAGTCAGTATGAGTAAATTTACCGTTTAATCATTTTTCTACTAGTGCGACTCGAATCGCCCAAGAGGGCGCGATAGCTGAGGGAGATGGAGATATCAGCCTTGCAATCGAAAAATACGCCGAAGCAATCGCCTTGGATCCGACGAACAAGGTCTACTTCGGTTATCGATCGGACGCGCTCCTCCAACAAGAGCAGTTCCCCGAAGCTCTTAGGTAATAAGATTCAATTTTTATCCATCTCTCCTTTATTTCTAGTGACGCGGTGAAAGCAATTGAACTTGAGCCCACATGGCCAAAAGGCTACGCCTTGAAAGGGCAGATTTTGATGGCAACAAAGAAATTTGAGGAGGCAAAAGTCGAGTTCGGAATGATGAAAAAGTTCGATGAATCTCCTGACGAAGCTATCGAATGGTTAAATATCTGCCAGCAAGGTAAATCAAGCTCAAGGATCACTTACTTATTTTCACTTTTAGAAGAGGAAAAGGAATGTGCTCATCGTGAACGAACTGAAGAAAGCGTCAATCAAGCTACGTTGGAAAGAAAGCAAAAGGAGCAAGAGATCGCTTCGGCAGAAGATGAACAGCCTGCGCTCGAAGTAAAACGAAACGAGTATCGAGAAAAAACTGGTGTCGTCTTGGAGAAAGTCAGCAAAAGTAAGTTGATTAAGTCAGAACAATATTTACAAGAATTCAGAGCCTGTTCGGCGCAGAAAGCGTTTGTTGAGCAGTGACGAGGAAGACGCAGCGGCTAGTTCAAGCGATGAGAAGAAGAAGAAACAACGAGACTCGGATGAAGAGACACCTGTTCTATCGCCTTTCAATCCCAAGCACAATAATACAGAAGTCACTGAAGACGATTCGTCTTCCGATGATGATTCCAACGCAGAGGTAGCAGGAATAATCAATTATAGAGCTAAGTTTATCATTAAGGCCGATGTACAACAGCAAGCGATGCTTTCGTCGATCAGTGGTGAAGAAGCCGGACCACCAAAGCCACAGAAAGACACTTTGGTTAGTTCAAACGATGGAGCATCTACTGATATTGCGGCTCCAACGCCGGTGGTCGCTGCTTTGGATGATCAGAAGATCGCTGAAATGCGTGCCAAGATCTGGGAGTCGAACGAAAAGCTCAAATTGCTGGGCGCTAGAATCCAGAAGTTCGATAATAAGAGCGTTAACAGGATGAGGTTTCGCTCTATGATCGACTTCTTGCGTCTAGCTTACGATCAAATGTCGAAAAAGCTTCATCATCTCGTCGAAACCGCCGGCAAGGAAGGGCTTGCACCCTTGGAAATGGAAGTCGCAAGTTTGGGAAAATCGCTGGAGCAGTTGTCTAGCGATATTTTTGACGAAGAGATGCACTGGCACAATCAGCAGCATGAATTGGACAGAATCAACCAAGAAAAACGGCAGCCACATCAGCCAGCGATCGCAACTCCTCATCAACACAGTCAACTGTCAAATATGCCGTCACAGCATTTTCAACCTCCTCCTCAAATGAGCTTCAACCAGCGATTTACTCCCCAAAATAATTTTGGCCCCCCTCAGCAGATTCCTCCTCATCATCAGATTCCTCCTCATCAGCAGATTCGTCCTCATCATCAGATTCCTCATCACAGACAGTTCATGCAACCACTTGGCAACAGCCAGATGAATTTGCCACGCCGTGGACCAGTGGCGAAAAATGGATGCAAACCAGCGCAATCCACAAAAAGAAAAAGAACAAAGAATTAAAATGAAGCTGTTCTTTTTGTATTTTATAATTTTGTATTTTTCGAGCTCTTTATAAAACCGGAAAAGCTGTCATTTTAGGATCCCGGCTCTCCTACAATATATCTCACATTTATGTGTAGAAGTTTATTAATTTATTTTCAGGTTCAGTTTACAAAAGCGAAAATATTTCCTAGGAAGTTTTTCCTGATCCGCTTTGAAGAGAAACAAACTTGGTGCGAAGCTCGCGACGATTTCGTTTTCGAGCAAAGAATTCCAGAAGGAAGCGAAGAAAAGTCTCTTGATAAGAATGGAAAGTTTATACGTGTTTTGCGCGAACGAGCGGAAAAGTTACTCAAGAATGAGGGTGGAAGTCGGCGCTGCGAAGGTAAGTCCGATCTTAAAACGAGATCGTAGGGCCTTCATTCACGACCTGGAAGATGAATTTAAAACGGTCAGAGTTGCATCGCTGAATTCTCTTTGCACCTTAGCCGCTAAAGAGTCCACTGGAGATTTCGCCAAGCAGTCGATGGACTACATGGTAGACATGCTCAACGATGAATTGGAAATTGTTCGCCTGAATGCGATTAATAACTGCGTAAAATGGCTTCGCGAGTTCCTGTTATGCTGGAAGATCAGAATGAGAATGTATTGACGAGCTGTTTGCCCGATTCTAGGCGAGAAATTAGGTAAAATCATTAAAGAATGGGCAAAAAAGATAATTTACGGGCGAAAAATTTATAAAGAAAGCGCTATTTCTCCGTTTCATCTTTATTTCAGAATTTCTACCCATCGATTACTGTCCTGCTGCCGTCTTCTGTCCAAAAATGCCTGAATCGAACAGTAGAAGAGCTCATCCAAAGTCTTCAAAAGTTCCCCGAGGACGAATCATCCATTTACGTAGCTGTTTGCTGCCTGTTAAATGCCGACGTCCCTCTTCATGCACAACAATTGTTGGCTCACAAGATCCAGAGCCCATTAGAAAAAGAAGCTGTCTGAGGCCTGGATCTGTTGGAAATCTGCGTTCGATCCTCTGGAAAACTCTTTCACAATGAAATCGGAAAATATAGATTTTTAAATGAACTTATCCGCGTTGTCTCTCCCAAATATCTTGGACCAAGGTAACGTGGCTTAAAACCTGGCTTATCGCATGAGCATCAGTCCGCTGCGCTCCCCCTCTCGCCTCGAGTTCGGAGGACTTTCATTTGGAGGACCTCTTTTTGCGCCCTCACGCAGATGTAGGGACTTGTAATTTGCTTGACCTCCCAAAGAAAAGCCACTTGACTAAAATTTATTTTGTTTTTAGGTCATCACCGCAGGTTAAAACTAGAATTATTGAATTGATGTATGGTTGGACTATTGCATTAAAAGGTTGAGCTTTTCTTATTCTTACAGCTACTGACTTTGAGTTTAGACCAAATAAAGATTGCTGATGCGTATTCAATGCTCAAGAAACAAGGCATCGTCAAGAAGGACCCGAAATTCGACGACAGAAGATTTCTCCCTACTCCTCAACAAAAAGAAAGGTACCAATTTAATCAAAATCAGTGTTGAAACATTGTTCAGGTGCGCATTAATAAAAGACGATGCTGAGGAAAAGCGACTGGCGGAACTTCTTGCGTCCAAGAATCCAGAAGACATCGCCCTGGCAAATGAAATGATCAAAACCATGTACGAGCAAGACAGTTAAAAGACCGATCGAGAGGCGCGCAAAATGCTTTTGATGACAGAAGCGAAGGAAAAATACATGCTCATGGATGATATGATTGCTGCTGGAGCTACGTAAGGCCAAGTTCTTCTCTCATTTATTAACACTCTCTGAATAAAGAGCGAAATCGGCGATGGCAACAGTCTATTCGGACTTGGAATCAATGAGGCCACAGCTCTTCCGTCTCGCGTCAGAAGCAAATGAAAACAACGATGAGTTGATGGCGGTCCTCAGGCTAACAGATGAAGTCAATCGAGTCATCAATGTCGTGAAAGATAAATACCCCAATGTAGTGGAGCTTTCGAAGTAAATTCTTTCTCATATTTCCTCCCTATTATTGTATTCTAGCGCTTCTACGCCAACTTCAAATTGAAGCAGCGTTCCATCATCTGGTCTCACTGCAACATCAAGTCCGGATACCCAAACTTCTCGCCTCCACGACCTCGGCGTCGACTTGAACCTGCTCGGCCTCGAGGATGATCCTCCATCGAACAGACCAGCTCAAAGTAGTGGAAATGTGATCGACGATTTGAAAACTCTGAACAGTATATTTGGGTCCTCTCCAATGGGAGAAGCACCGTAAGTCTCAAGAATTTTCTCTTAATCAATTTATTAGCTACGATCCTTGGCAGAGGTAGTTTTATAAAGGATTTTGTTCATTTATGCATGCATTTATTATCAGCTAACAATTTTGCCTTTACTCGTCGATTTTGATGATTACTGAAGTTCTAACAATTTTTTCAGTCAGCCAACTCTGCTGGATATTAACCCATCAGCACCTTCTGTATCCGCCATGACGAGCCAAGCCAGTCCCCAAATCGCTGTTTGGCCCACTCCACCCGAAGTGGCGGCTTTGACGGGAATCAAAGTCAATCTCGCTGATTTCCAGGCTTCTTCGACGACAAGAACTCTTGTCGACGATGATGGAGTCAGAGTCATCCTTGTCCGAGGAGAGAATAAAATTCAAGACAGAAGTGATGTCCCTGTACTGCTAGTCACTTTTGATTCGACAAATCCTGCACCTATCGAGAATTTAATGTTCAATGCTAAAGTTGCAAAACCTTTCAGGTAAGAATCCTTTTCACTTCGAATCCTTTCAAACATTTTCTTTCAGAATAAAACTATTACAGCCATCAGGCAACGAGTTCCCTGCGTTCAACCCCGTTTCATCAACTTCTTCGCGCATTACACAATTGATTCTAGTGGGAGGGCCGCTCATCCCAAATCAACTGGCAGCTCTCTGCGCCAATACCTAAATAATGTATGGGTAGTAATTTATGACTGTGGTCTCTGTTCGTAAACGAATAAACTATTTTATCAATTTTACCAATTGACAGAAGCCCAAAATGGACATTTTGTCTTTTCTTAAGTTTTGAATCCTAGGAAGCATGCATACCGCGTAGCGGTAATATTGTTGAAGTATTAATTATCCATTGCAATTTTCCTACGCAAAAGAAAGGGCTTAATTGATATTCGTGCATGTATATAATGCTAAAGGACGCAGGTACGCAGTTTTTACTAAAGTGAGATATGAAATGTACGTGGATTGTACTAAAAAATATGCATGCTTACTCAAGGAATAATAGCGATCACCTTCCAAGATGCAATTTTCAGAGTCCAAAAAAGCACCTGTTTCCGAAGTAAAAGTAAAAAGAAGGAGAAAGAAAAAGCCAAATATTTTCCTCGCTATCTTTACTAATTCTTTTTATGCGGCGAAGCCCCCTTCAAAATCAACAGATTCGTAGGACAGAGGCTTATCGGCCAACTCTGGATTCCTCTCACGATAATCGGACTTTTTGGCCCACCAAAAGTACGAAAAAGATAGCAACAGACGAGTCTCATTTCCTGGAAATATCTCATCAACAAGAAAGTTTTCAAAAGTTGCATGGAGTTTGCAGATTTTTCATTTTATTCAAAAAAACAGGAAAAGAGCAAAAGTTTCGGGATAAAATTTGATAAAGATAGTATTGCTTGTCATTTGATGAACAAATTTAATAAAGCTAATATTGCTTGTCATTTAATAAACGAATATGATGAAGGTTGTCTATTATGGCAATAATGAAGAATAAGTTAATCATTTTATAAAATTAAGCAGTAAGAGTATAAAGTAGTTTTAACAGAGTAAATGGTAAGAGGTACATTGTTTAGGTGAACTATAACGATTCATTTTATCATGATACGAACATATATCTCATTTCATTTTACATATGAAATATTAAATTGCTTGGAATAAACAATGATATACCACAAATAGTGTTTCATTTTGAATACTTTGGAGCGTTTCTATGCAAAATTTACTTTGTAAAGCTCATTTAGCTCATTAAGCATAGCTTTTTTTTGAATGGTTGTCTCTTTCGAAAGGGATTTTTTCACCTCATTTTTTATTAATGAAGTGAAGGAGAAATTTTCTTCTTATATTCGCAAGAAAATAGGGCGCATAGCATGAGATCAAGAGTCGTAAATATTTGAACGACCTAGAAATTGACGTTCAAAAAGTTTTTCCGAGCGATGTTGTTTGGTAAACCTACTTCAGAAACTCACAATTGCCCTCAATTGTCCTTATCTGTCCGACTTGTTACGTAAAGCTATGAACAGCATGCTCGAATCATTTGTTTTCTATTTCCGTGGTCCTTTATCCCTTTATCGGCTGATTTAGGAGCTTCGCTTTTTTCGCCATCATTTTCTGATTCAGTTGACGATTCTTGATCCGTCAGACCGATTTAGCGGTTATAAGGAAACGCCGGTGAAGACAAGGCTCATTTTATCCAAGAAATTTATTTTTTTTGTGTTGACAATGGAAATCGACGCTCTCATGAGAGAACGCGAAGACCGCCTCGGTCTTCGAGATTTAGCCCTCGAAAAAGAGAGTGAAAGTAAGTCTGATATTAAGTAAGACAGAAAGATTATATGCGATTTAGGGGAGGATGAAATCAATGCACTGGAACAAGAGCGACAGGAATTGGAACTACGATTGTTTGAGATGGAAGAAAGGGTTATTGAAGCCCAGCAGGAAAGAGAAAGATATCAAGCACTTGCACAGCTAGCGCAAAATGATGCTGATCGACGTAAGCTTTTAAATTTAACACAGATAAAGACACTTATCCCGAATTTTAGTTGAGGATGAAATAATCGTGAGAATCAATGCTATGGAAAATGAAGAAGAAAACAACGACGAGGGTTTCGTAGAGGTGGATGAAGATTTGGATGATCTGAGCGACGAAGAGAATGCTGATTGATGATTTTTTTTTGACGAAGTACACTGAAAACAGGTTGACACTTGTAGCTGACACAATTGGAATAAAATAAATAACTACCTTCAATACTATTTGTATTTTTCTATGCAGTCACTTCGCATTTGCAACATGGTTTGAACTTCAGATTCAGATTTATAAGTCAGCTGAAGGGAGTCGACTTGATTGAGGTTTCGAATATCTGGGAATTCTTTGAAGCCGATTTGCTTGCGTTTTGATTCAGAGTTCGTGCTAAATTTTGCCAGCTAAATAACAAGCAATTCATCTTACATTAAAAAAACGATAAGTCTTTGAAATTCGACGAGTAGTAAAGACGGGTCGTTGAATTTCTTGGCATTTTTTTCTAAGTCGTCTATGTCGTCGTAATTTTCAAAGATATCGTAATCAAAATAATCTCTTCTTTCTTTCTCCAACGACGCGAAAGAACTCCAATCAAGGGGAATAACCGGCAAGAACCTTGTTATTATAAATAAGTTTGAATGTTTTTGGCGTTTTACCTTACTACGTTTTTTCTAAATCTGCCATTTATTAGACCCGATAATATGTTTTCGTCTTGAAGCCCATTCAACTTCTTGAGTTTCAAGCAGGCCCAGAAATTTTCAGTTGGGAACCCTGGCCATAAACAAATCGTACATACTCCATGAAAGTTATGACGCCAAGAAACACTGAAGTTTTCAAGATAAATCGCGTCGAAGATATTTAACTCTCCGTAGAGCCTTTCGATATCAATTGGATCGGCACGTCTTTTGCGGATGGTGATTTTGATTATATTTTTTCTAGTATTAAGAAGAAATAGTGTAAGCAAGCATCCGGGAATAATCGATTTAAACATAACCAGGCCAGCAGTTGAAATCAACGGATTAACAGAATTTCGCCGATTTTTGCAGCTCCCGATTTCCCAGCTGTCTATTTTCTCTGGGATTACAGAAGCCAGCTCATCAGGATTAACAGCACAAAATGCCTTCATTTACGTCTTTTTTCGTTTTTTTCTATTTTGAGGTGCAAAAACGGAACCGTGAACTAAGCTAATCAATTGTTTGCAAATGAATTGACACTGTTATTTTATAGTCGCGGAAGTTTTATTTCTTTGCGGAAAAAAAGGCGAAAAAGTGGACAAGTTGATCTGTGAAATGAAAGAATAAAAAGACAAGCTAAACGATGAGGATGAATAATTATAATAAGTCGAGTACTGGAGGAGTTGTTTTATTCGTCTGAGTCGGACGAAATCGTTATGACTGCATCAGTTTTCGCTTTTTTCGTAGCTGGTTCCTTGAATAAGGTCTTTTGGATTGGTAGAATAACTTTGCATTTACCTGAATCTCCTCCGAGTTACGACGAAATAAAAATCTTTTCCATGCCGGTTTTCCGGCGAGTCTTAATTTTGAAGTCAGAACTATTCTCAATAAGAGTTGAGACTAACTTTTGACGATATAAAAAGGGGTTCTTCTTTCGGGGCGTTGAAGGATTGATCCTTGTTGGGTCTTGATAATCAAAATTGATTGGAGTCGAAGGTCTAGCTGGCTAAAAGATAAAAGTCAGAATATGCACATAGAAGTAATAGATTGCCTGGAAGGAGTCGTCGTCGGAACTTTCCGAGTTGATGTTGCTTGCGAGTGCTTTAATTCTATCCGCAAGGCTCGTCTCGTCGTCGTTATCTCTCAGTTCTTTTTGAGTTTGCTCGTTCTCAGCATCGAAATCTCTCGTGTAAAGGTCTTGTGGGTCATCGTCCGCCACAGTTGGGTCATCATTGATTAACTCGCTCTCGGATCCTGCTTCCTCATCGCTTTCCTCCCTCTCTCCGAAGATCAGTCCTCGATGGACCGTTTGATCGAGATTTTCTTCATTATCCGTGTCATCCTTAATTATGAAATGAAACTCTCTTCGGAAAATTTAGACTAACTGAGCTAAAGTCTTCTATTTTCAAATCACACCGCGATAATTGTCGCTCCAAAATTTCGTCTTCTGTCAAAATGACGGCTTCTGTTTGAGAGTCGGTGTCGGGGCAGTCAGGAAATTTTTTGCTGTTTTGGAAAAATCTTGTAACCTTGACGCTGTCGAATTTTCCGATCGGGAGGCCGCAAAACGTATTTTGTAGTTTCCTAAATAAGATTAAGTTAGCTTTTATCAGAAAAATTGAAAACTTACGAGAATAAACGCGCTTGCATCAAAAATTCTGCAATCGAAACATCCTCACTCAAGTTTTTGACGACTTCATTGGCATACAATGGTTCGTACAACGGTTTATTGCGCGCGATCTTTTTCAATTCGTTATCAACGTCGTTGCTGTCAAAGACCATCTGACCGGTAAAGGGCGTTATCGCTCTTGATTCAAATTATGATTGTTTCTTGAAGAAAAACTTACTTTGAAATCAGTGAATAAAACCGGCCGTCGAGAATTCCTCCTTGAAAAGATGCAGGGTCCAGGCATTTTTCCGTTGCTTTAACGAGAGTACATCCATCCCGGTTTCCAATATCCATCAGGATTGTATGAACCTGGATTTTTCCGTCAAATCGCATCATGTATCGCGCGTTTTCAAAACGTACGAAAGAGAATTGAGGAACATCCCCGAATTCTTTAAGAACAATTTGATGCCTCGGAGTCGGTGCGACAATCCTCAGCAATATTATCGAACTTCCGTCCATGACGCAGTGAAGAGTTAGTTCGATTAACCTGATTACAAATAAGAACTTTTTACTAGGGGTTTTTCATACCTGTCATTGTAAAATTTTTTAGATCCGTCTTCAATTGTAAACAACCATCCGCAAAGGCCTATGTCTTCGAAACCTTTGTTGGCAATCCATTGATTCTCACGTATCTTTTTCGGAGGTATTCGTTTTAAGCCGCAAGAGCTTTTTATTTCTTGGAATTTTCTCATGGTTCGTTTTTGCAAAAAAAAAACTTTGATGTTTTTTGGGGGGATTATCACGAAGGATGAATGTCGTGAGAATTGCTGTTGGAAGGAGAATATTTGTCGCTGTTGCACTTGAGGGAGCTATTTGAAATAGCACGATTGAGCTAAGTTTTCATGACCACTTCGCAGTTGCTCCAAAGCAAACCCATAAACGCTCGTTTCCTAAAATTTTCGCACCAAAGAACTAAGAAACCACGTTCAAAGAGAAAACACAGCGATGAATTGCAACTGGTTTCCCGCAATTTGCGGCGAGAAGAACGAGGTAATAAAAAGATTTTTACAGAATTAATTCACATGAAAAATAGGAAACAGAGTCATATAAAGTTACTACGGAAACTGTTAGTCGAGAAACTACCGCTTCTTATTTTGAGTTTTCCAAGAGCGTAAATGATCTGGAATCTTCCTTGCCCCAGACTCGACCCACATTTATGCCCGAGTCAATATCCGTAGAGACTTCTATTCCATCATCTGTCACTACGGATATGAACACATTTTTGTCCACTTCTGGCCAAGAGGTTATCGAGCCGATCACATTTTTGTCGACTGCTGGCCAAGAGCTAATCGAGCCGGACGCATTTTTGTCGACTCCTGGCCAAGAGCATATCGAGGTTTATTCTGAGCGTCTGACATCAATGTTTCGTGAAGATACCTCAGCTGCAATTTCATTTTCATTTACATCTCTACAAGACCAGAGTCAGGCTATTTTTGAATCTCAGACCACCATCCATTTTCGAGACACTACAGCTGTAACTACGCTTGAGGATTTTTCCCATAAAGCAACGACTGCTGTTTTCGAGGCCGAGACTCTAGGTTATTTCACAGAGGCTTCTCAAACTAAAAGTTCCGTAATTTCACAAACATTGACTCAGACGGGTTTGAAGGCGCAAACAACTCAGACTTCTTTCGTGCAGACGTCAACGTCTTTTGACATGTCTGGAGTAAGAGCGCTTTGAAAAAACGAAAGACTAAAAAGCTATTTCAGACGGATGGAACAACGGAGACTGCCATAGCAAGCAAAGAAGCAAACATTCCGGGTTGGCTGATCGCGGTCCTGGTTATTCTTGCAATGATTGTTCTCGTCGTTTGCATCGGCTGTGGTTATCTTGTAAGTTTTTATCATCTGAAACTATAAACAAACTGAATAAGGTGTACCGGCTGTACAAGTGCATCAAGGGATCCCAGCGAGAGCATGACTACGAGATGGGGCGTCCGAACAAAGACAAGGATCGAAAGAATGAACACAGCGACCAGGAAAACAAAGAAGATGACCCGCATCGAACAAGCCACCCCAAAAACGCTGGAATGGGCTTCAGGGACAGTGATCAAAACCATCGGCCTGATGAAACTAAGAAGGATGACAATGGTGATGCCGGTGATGAAACTAAGAAGGATGAAAATGGTGATGCCGGATCAGACAATTCACAAGGTGATTTTCTCAATAGAATTTTTTTTGGCAATTCCTAACTTTCATTAAAGGCGGAAACAGCTCCAATCAAAAGACCAAAAAGGATGAGAAGACCGAAAATACGAATACACAAGGTAATACCAGTTTTCACTTTTCTACCGATTTTAACATATCAAATAAGACGGAGGAACAAATATGGACATCAAGGAAGAGAAAAAACAAACAATTTCCAAAGACGCGGCGAAAAAAATCCCAAAAAAAAGTAAGTTTTTCTCCGAGAAAAATGCCACAAAATTAACTCTTTCCTCTAGAAAACGTGTTTAATCGCGGAGGAAAATTTCCATGGAACCCAAGCCCAAAATCAAGCAATTCCCAACCATCGACAAGCTTTTTGGCGCCGATTACTTCACCAATACAAGCTGGATTACAGACAGGTAACTTTGACAACAATTTTTTCAGCTCCTACTCACCTCTTTTTTAGCTGCAAACAAGATCGCGACTACCCTCCCACGAAACCTTACCGTCCAATTCGAGCAGGATAACAAAAGTAATTTATTTTTATCAGACAAGTATCCAAACTTCTTTTAATTAGCGGTCACCGTTCGATCGGTCAACAAAATTGAGGTCAAACCGAAGCCAATGCCTGGAAAAGTTACAAAGCGACCCCCAAATCGACCACAAGCACTTCAACAGCAAAGATCAGAGTCACGACGTGTGTCACTTCCAGAGCCCCGACCTGTTTCTCCTCCAGCAACTCGATCTGAGCCTCTCCAAGAATCACGACCTGAGCCTCTCCAAGAATCACGACCTGAACCACTTCCAGAGCAACGACCTGAGCCGCTTCCACAGCAACGACCTGAGCCTCTCCAAGAATCACGACCTGAACCAAGACCTGAACCTCTCCGAGAACTACGACGAAGCAATCGTCTTATGACACCGAAGAACTACGTTGAGTTCTCTTCAGACGAGAGTCTTTAAATCGCCCTACATCTCACGAAATCCGCATAAGAGATAACTTTTGAAGCCCCTGTAAATTCTCAAATCTGCTTTTCATGCGTAAGAAAAGATAATCTAAATAAAGAGTGAATTGTGTGAAAATCCGTTTGAATTTATTTGTTAGCATGTTAAGGTTGACATAAACGAAAAAAATAATGAAAACATAAATGAATGAAGGGATCAAATATATCCAGATGCGTTCTTGAGTGGGGTTGCAGTCACTTGGTCATCAGCAATCTGCCATTTTACATAGACATTGTTCAGTGCATTCTTTGTTGTTTTTCGAATGACGATCTCGTTCTTACGGGCTACCATGCCTGTCATTGTAGCGCTGAACTTTTCATCGTCAAGGAGAGAACGTACGAAATGCTCCACCGGTGTTTCAATATCCTTTTTGACGCCTTATTATGAGTTGAAAGAATGGTTTTATCCTTATAAGTGAACTTGAATTAGCTTACTGAGTACTTTCTAACCCAAGCCTTTCGTTGATTTTTTTATTTTTATATCCCCCTTATCATTTTTACCCTTGAGAATATAACATTTAGAGCTCAAGCCACAATAGGTGCCTTGCCCATATATCCCACCCTCGATTTTGAATAAACCCGGCGTTTTCTCCAATTTTTTTCAGCAATTTTTCGGCTTCCTTCTTAGAGTTATTTGATTCTCGCAGCATCTGGTCAGTGACTTTTTCAGGAACCATCCATGTGTCAACGAAATTTTTCCATGACTCCTTCTTCTCAGATTTGACGAGTGTTTCAACATCATCACCTGTATAAGCAATCATAATCGAATCGGTGTCTGCGTAGCAAAGTTTGAATGATCCTTCCTTCAGATGAGTGCATATATTATCAATGAAATTGAACATGACCAATTTGCTTTTCTGATAGACTTAAAAAATATTAAGAGACCAATTCACGAACAAAGACATACTAAATGCTGAAATATGTGTTGGAACGCTATCTCTCTGCGTTTTCTTCTTTTTGACAATTTTGACCAAAGATGTGGGTCCTTCAGCACTGATGATTTCATTTTTTTCGAGCAAAGGCGATCTGATGTAGCGGTATAAATCAGCATCATCGATGTATTTTGTTTCCCTGTATTTAGAAACATTCTTGCCAAACAAACCAGTGACAATATTAAGTACCAGCTTTGAAAGTTTTTCGCCAACTTTGTTCTCGGCAATATGATACCGGATTCGATCAGCGACCAGTCTATCGACGAAAGGAGCCATCGGTTTTTCCTTATTGTACATAAGAAGATAATGAACCTTCTAAAAGCGACATGATTAAGTTTTAAAAATCTTTTAGCGAACCTTAATAATATATCCCATATCCAAATAAAAATACAGTAGAGGAGTGATTAGAAGCATTTTTTCTCCGCCAGAATTATATATCAATGTGTTCTGGCTCACAGGCATCTCAAGATTTCCGATTTTTTGATTTTCAGATAGCATATTTCTTTCTATCTTTGTTTTCTTAAAAATCATAGGAAATTTCAGATCTCCATATCGATTATAAACAGCTTTACTTGGCTCAATTTCCACCATTGCGAATCCAAAAACTTTTCGTTCTATCAGAGCATCGATTAGATCTTTTTCTCTTAGTTTCTTATCGTGGAAAAGAAAAGGACACCAATCTGGAGCCCAATTTTCTCTGGCATTACGAGCGAACTCTTCATCGGCCATGTTTCTTTTCATAAATTTGTCGAAGTGACATTCTCGCTTTATTTTAAGGATGTCGATTTTCTTCTCTATGAATTTCTTTCTTTCCTTGTCTCGTTCTTCGTCAGCGTCCTCATTTGTTTGGATTTTACATGAACGACATTTATGCCAATAGCAGCCGTAAAACTCAACTCCCCATCTGATATTGTCTTTCTCATAATATCCATCAAGAGAATACTTCCCAATTTTCTTTTCGCCTATGTGATATGCATGTTGGATATCCACACCAGATTGATGTCGCAGATATTCTAGATACTGCAAGCTTTTGAGGGAGATTGATTCCTTGCCCTCATAGAGCAGATTCAACTTGAAATATCCAACATCACCAGCACGAGTAGCGTCACCGATATCCCCGGGATATACAGCGATTCCAGGACCACATGGCAGAGAATCCTGTAGAGTAAAAGGATACAAACTATTTGCATCAAGCTGTTTAATCATTTTGAAGAGTTCGCCATTGTCAGCATATCGGGCGGCATGTGGAAGAGGCCCATCTGGTTGGTTCAATTCGATCAGTCGGTGAAACACGTGCGTCATTCCTCCTGTCAAGGCTTCACGGATGTCCTTTCTCAATTCAGCATCAGTGATCGAGTAGATGGGTGTCGCACGCGCGTATTTACCAAACGCAATCTTTTCAGCAACTTGCGCCAATGAGATATATTGATGGATATTCACATTAAATTTTTCGGCAAACTGGTTACTGTATTCTACAATGCCTTGGCTTAGCATGTCTGTGTCGATGAGATTATAGACACGCAGCCAATCGAGCATCGTTTCACATTTTTCTTCTTCGAATAAGTCCTTTGAAGCCAAGTATTTATCAAGAGAGATATTGAAGAATTTTTTGGAGTCTTCGTTGATTACAAAGCAGCGAAGAGAGTTTTCCGCAAAGTATTTGATTTCATCAGTTTGAATTTCCCATTTTTTTGCGAGGAGCTCGATATTCTCATCTGTGTTTTCGTAGCAACACTCAAAACTATCTGCTAGACTGTTGAGTTTTTCTACAGGGACATCAATTTCAGCAGCAAGATCATCAATCGTCCAGCAGTGTTCAATAAGAAATTTGTTGACCAGGTGAACTTCTTTCTCGACAGGAATGTAGAAAGAGCTATAAAAGTCGGAGTACGGTGGAAATCCTTTGTAACTGATGAGCTCGTCAGTGTCTTTGAAACGTTCGTATGGGTAAACGGCTTTTGCTATCTGCAATCCAAGCGATTGAACAAACTATTGAACAAAAATTAAGAGAGGATTTTCAATCTGCCCTTTTACCTTTTCCAGAGACGTCCCTCTTTCAACGAGATTCATCATGTCCTTGAATTTGATATTGCCATAGGAAGCAAGCATTGTTCCGGCGCCTCTTTGGATCATATTCATCTTTGGCTCAAAACGAGTATCCTTGTCTCGCTTTGTGACTAGTAAGTGGGGATGTCTACGACGAACAACTTCAGTCAGAGCATTGATTATAACAGTCAAGTCGAAGCGTTCGCTATTCCAGCCGTAAACATTGAGAGAATAGAAATCGTCAAGATACTTGAGCCGATCGCAGAGTTCTGCTTGCTTTTCAACTGGAAAATTGTGAAATTTCTCACTATTCTTCAATCGGATCAAGCGCCATTTTTCATTATCGATCTTTTTCGAAAGAGTCCTATTAAATTCTTCCTGAATATCACATAAGTCCACGTAAAATTCATCAAGCAAGGAGAAAAGAGATTCTTGACTTGTCCCTCGGCGCCATAGAAATTTCTTTGTGTACTCGTCTCCGGCTGGGTTGTACGCATGCCATGCAATAGAGATCAGCTTATACGCAGACAATTCCTCAGTCGTGGAACTTATGTTCTTCTCTTTTTCGGACCTTGGGACAGAAGCAGTTTCAATGTCAAAAGCCACAAAGCTTTGATGAAACTCATTTGTACGCAAAATCTTGTCGTAAATCAGATCGTAACGAGTGTGATCAGTAAACATTCCATATTTCTTCTGTTTATGTGAGAAAGTTGTTCTGTCAGTGCATGTTTCCAGATGTTTCGAAAACTTTGCACGATCTGAGCAGCTGAAGGAGCAATTAGGCGTTGGACAGAGGTCAAAATTGATTTGCTCGGGCAGAAGCTTAAAGAATGTACTATCCGAGAATGTTTTCGTCTGATCATCCTTCGAAAGCTCCAGTTGAAGTATTTTTCCAGAGCCACAATAAAAATCTAGCTGTCTGGAAACTCTGTCAGCACCAGGCCTTGACAGTCTGCGCCAAAGAACAAGTTTGACATTAAACAACCTCGAGAAATTCTTGTAATTGGAGACTGTGATATCACTCGTTTGTGCGAAGTCGATCCATTTCTGTCGTATTTCGGCTGCTTTTTTGAAAAACAACCTCGGGCACTTGTATAAATCCTTGTTTTTCACTTTCGCAACGGCTTCGAAGATGGTCAGCTCAAGAGTATTTATCCGGTCAATTCCATGGTTGATAAATCCATCGTCAAGAAGCTTAAGCTGATTGAATCCATTAAAACGCTGGTCTTTGAAGAAAAACGTCAGACCGACACTGCCTGGACCCGGATGCTGCGTTTTATAAAAAAGACTATCGCCGCCATTCGCTGTTTTCTGATAGATTGTGAAATGGACATTAAAGTCGCTTTCCAGTGCTTTTCGAAATTTCAAAACTTATCGTTTAATGCCATTTATTATTAAAATTTTGAATATTTTCCTGATAAACATGGGATTTTAAAAAGTCCGTATTTCTTCTGAAAGTCGATAAATTTGGAGTAATCAGCACGACAGGGATTTTTTGCACGTTTCGGATCTATGAGAGTCTTCAGTTTCTCTAATCGACGCTTGTCAGGTTTTTTCTTCTCCTGATTAAGAAGAACTCCAAGATAAGTAAGATTGTAAAATTGGTTGTTATCTTCTTTCAAATGTAAAAATCTCATTTTTATCGGAAAATCATACTTTCCTGTTTTATGTATGAAAAAATTGACAGCGGAAATTCACCATACATGCGAAATTTCGCACGTGCACATGAGAAGACAAATAGTTATTTAAAAAATTCTGTTTCGAGGAGTTCTACGCCGTCCTTTCAACAAGCTGTCAAAGTAAAATCAAGAACTCCCGATTACAGGATTTTTTTCAACTAAATAAGAGTCAGAATTCCAGAATGAGCGGAAAATTCAAAGAGTCAGAGATTGATTTCTTTCGGGAGTTAACAAAAGAAAAATTGAATATAAATGAACTTCTTACAGAAGAAGAATATAAAGTGATGAATGATCACCAGGAA